GCAAAACAAAAGCATTCAGAGGATAAATTGCAATGTGGACATTATTTCACATATACCTTGTTTTTGCAAACTGCAAGAACCACTTGTAGAGGATTTGTTTGTATCTTTCTGTGTCAGATGGGACTTGCCCACAAAGATGACCTCTTCCCTCAGTCAGTTGGTTTGATTCATGTACTGCTAATATCTTTCCAGAATCTGTTTCTCAGATCCCAGTGCTTCAATTTCTGGTCTAGTCACGATACACTGTGTTTTTCATTTTAATGCTGAAGTATTTGTTCAAGTCCATAGATTGTGCGTTTTTAATCTTCCTTAGAACAATGGTGAATAATGGCCCTTGGCAGGAGATAATGAAATTTTCCTAATTTATATTTTCAAGCAGAAACTTCAATTGAAAATGGCATCCTATGGCCTGCAGACATAGCTTTAGTGCAGGTTTCAGGGGAGCTGTAATAATAATGCAGTGCCAGCAGTGACGAGGCATGATAGGACAGTGAAGAAGCAATTTAAGAAAGAAAAGAGAATGTACCAAAGCTTTATTGTAGCATATCTAATGATCTGCTGAAGATTCCCAATAGCTTTAGGAGCATGACAGGAGAAACTAATGTTATCTTGCCAAAACAGAAGCCCCTGCTTAATCAGCAGAACAAGATTATTGATTAAAACACCTCGCACAATAGATTGCACATAGAATCTCATCTCCATACATTGCACATGAAAAAGTGCAATAATCAGCATAAGGTAATAATAATAATAATAATAATAATAATAATAATAATAATAATAAAAAGCAAAAGCAGTTTGTTGGGAATTGTACAAGTCAAGATTAGAGTGGAAATACAAACAAATTATCATGGAAAATACAGCTGTCCTCATAGCTGAGCAGATAGGATGGATGCAGCAGGGACAGAGGTACATCATGAGCAGGAGATAATAACAACCCTCCTTTTTCTTTCTGTATTCATCTGAAATGTGAAGGGCCATTCCTCATTTGCACAGTCTTCTTCCTGAGGTGAAAGGAGTTCAGACATTATACTGTAACTGTTAATTAAACACTCCATTTGATTTTTAGATTACTCTAAGTGATGCATGTGCATTATGAAGATGTAACCTTTCTTCATTCATACTAAAATACGGAATAAACGAGTGTCAGAGTACACAATTGCTCCTTGCATTCATGAGAATAGTGGTAATTCCTGCATTTCCCCTTGCAAAACTGTTGTCGCTGCTAGCACAAGAACCTGAATTATCATTCTTTCACTGCTACAGTTAGTCCTTTCCTAACTAGCATTTCAAATTTAATTCATACCTTTCCTAAATTGCTACTGAGTTCATACAAACTTCTTTGCTGATCTGCTGTGTTTCCTTGTAAATGACAAAGTCATTGCATCATAAAACTTTATGAATATTGTGAATTCTTCCTGAGTGTGACGACATTTCTCAGTGTGCAATCATATGAATTTTAAGATTGTACGTAAACCCCTGGAAATGTCCATATTTTAACATATGCTGGGGAAGTATGCAGTTATGTAGATTGCAGAACACTTAAATAGTATTTAAAACCTATAGAGAACTTAAACAGTAGATTACAAACACTGAAACACCAAAGTATTTGTCGTTTGTCTTCTTAAGTTTGCAGAAATTACACCTGGTTTGTATCACACCTTAATTGGAACAATTCTAAAAAAGTGAATACATGGACCAATTTAACAGTATATTAAAATTATAAAAAAATAACTTTGATTAAAATTGATGAGGGACTTCAAGTTATTTGCCACTTCAGGTTTTTTGAGGTTAGGATTTTATTTTTCCATATGGTGTCTAGGCCAATTTTGCAAATTCCATGGCACTTTATTTCTACAATAGCCTTGTTTTAGAGTATCCTGCGACACAAAAGCTGGTTGCCCATTACTAAAAGGAATGAGTCACTAGATTTAAGGCTGCAACAATGCAATATACTCTTCTTCAAGCACAGTGTTTCTAAGTGTAAATGTTTCTTAAAATTATGAAGTTCTGCTCTGGCAGTAATGAGGTAGCTTTGATAGTCTGTAGCCATGTAGGATAATCTGCTGTTTAGTGCTATTTTGTGGAGAGTGGAGTCTCTTTTATCCAATATGCCACAGAATTTGGGGCTTCTTGTCTTAAAGAAGCTCAACTGAAACCCTCACTAGTTTGCAAAATGTTTTTTTGCAGACAGTGGCAGAAGTATAGGCCAATAGCTAACAGAGAAGTAGCACAGTGCAGCAGACAGAAGGCTTTAATTTATCCAGAGAACAAATCACAGTAGTGTAAATTCCCTGAATTACTTGTCTCAGAACTACCTCTACAAAGATCACTTTTTCTTCATCTCTTCTCTTTAACCCATGAATTAGGACTGACAGCTGCTAGAGTTGCTGTTGTTTTTTTTTAAAGTCTTACTCTAATGGAAATATGACCTCTAAATATGTAAAAAATGTAAAAAAGTACTCAGGTTTTATAAAACATAGCCAACAGTACAGCAAAATCCATGATTTCAATGTGCAAATATACAACTTAAAGCACGAATACACTCTTCATGTAGTTAAGTAATTCCACTTACTGGGGAAGCGCTGGTGGGCCTGGTAGCACTGCTGTATACTGCAGCAGTGGGCATAACTCGTTCTGTAATCGGGGTCTTGGGTTTGGCCAGAGGGGGGAAAAGGTGGCCATATGCACAGCAGGTGAAATTTTTCATAAAGAAATAGTCAAAACATTTTAGAGTGTCATCAATTTCCTGTGAACAGCACTCAATGCCTGAAGTTTGACACTTAATGTACAAAGAAAAAAACCTACATTTTCCTCTGGATTGTTATTACACATCCTTTTGATAAAACCTAGCGTGAAGTTCTTCTCAGTTTCCTAGCTGATGGCAGCATTATGAATCTTTTACTGGGAGAAAATGAAACTGAAGAAAACAACTATTCACAGGGAAATTAATCTATCTTTTTCCCACCACTAAATATGACCTTGGCTAGCTTCATTCTCAAGCAATTTCTCCCAACAAGTACTTGTTTTATTTTGTAACAAATAAATAATTCTGTCTTAATTACTGCTCATTTGAGTATAAAATAAAATTTTCATACAGCTCAAAGCTGTGGAAACCATCATACTGAATGAAGCACCAGGAGAAGTCTTGCAGGAATTACTTTGGTTTCAGCGTAAGGTTTTTGCTAAAGAAACACAAATTTAAAGAAATTTTTTACACAATCTTACATCCCAGATTTTCTCCTGCTGGTTTGTGTACCTGAGGTGTGGAACATAAAAAGCTCTTTTTATGTTTGGGATATTGCAGAGAGGCCTGTGGGGTTTGGGGCCACATTGACTTCTTCTGCTTCTACGAGCTGCTGCACTGATTGACTGTGCCTTTGGGATGGGAGTGGGGCGGCATTATTTGTGCAATAGCTGTGCGGGGGACCTGGCTTTGCCTCTGGGAAAGGTGGCAGGTGAATTCCTCACCAACTATCCATTTCCATGGTTGTGTAGGCACAGAAATCCCTGCCCATTTCCAATTGGTTCTGTAATTATGAAGCTTATAATGGTAGAAATAAGCAACTTTAAAAAAAAAATTAAAAAAAAAAATGGAAAAACTAGAGTTAACCGTTTGAGTCAGAGAACTTTTGTCTCAGTTTGCTCAGCAGAGAGGCACAGCATGTCCTGACTGGCTCTGTGCTAGTTTGATTACTATATAAAAAAGGAAGTAATTTATATTAGAGTTCTTTGAATGTGTTTGCTCTACCTTTTATGAGGTAGCATGAATTATTCTAATACTTGTTGGTGCTGTGCAGCTGTGGAAAGCCACTGATACAAGGCAGTGTTTTAGCTTGGGTTATGTGGTTGTCAGGAAGTATGGGAAGAAGTAGGGCAAAAGAGAAGTTGATGTACAGCAGGAGTCAAATGCTCATCTATTACCTAAGTTCAGACTTGTGTTATTCAGTTTGCTGACAAACAAAACTAACCCCTGAGAAGATCAGCCAAGATCTTTCCCTTTTAGTCAACAAACTCCCTGACCTTCTCTTTTTTTCTTCCTCTTCCTTGTGACTGTTTTCCTGTATTACATTTTGACCATCTCTTCAAGGTTAAGTGATTGATTGTTTGTTCACTTTTAACTTCCTAAATATTCCTAATATTTGGTTTCTTGGAAGTTTTTTTTTGCTTGTTTGTTTCTGTGGTTTTTTCTAGAAAAAATAATAGTAGTCTAAAATCTATTATTTTTATTAAACTCCTCAAAAACATTAAGTTCGGTAGATCCTCACAATTAGAGGCATTGTAATAAAGTTCTTCTTTGTATCAAAATGCATTTTCTTTCATTGTTAAGCAAATAATTTTAATGTTTAGTCTCCTCAAAAACACATCTGAATTAATTTTCTTGCAGTTCTTTTTTTTAGCTATTTTTCTTATTTCCTCAAATGGTCGTTCCTTGCTGCTTCCTATAGCCTAACAGGGGAAGCTTAGAGTCCACCAATCGCTCCTAAAATAATTAAAATGGAAATGCTAATGTTCTTTATCTACAATAGCTCTTCCAACCAAAATAATTTCCTCAAATCATAACAAAAATCTCTCTGAGATGTAAAACTATTCAGCAGGATGTATGTCTCTAAAGATAGAAGGAATTACTCATTGTTGTTATTATACATTATTCAAAATTGCACATTTTTTCAGTCATGTTGTCTTTGCATTTTGTTTTCATTTTATTGAACAGTAGTATCAAATCAGTATAAATTTGGTGCTTGATACAGCTATCTCTACCAGTGGGGACAGTTAAGATAGCATCAATCTCCAAATGTAAAAGTATAAAGCCTGAATTAAAATATTGTCCTGAAGCCTTCTTTTGGACTTTGGCTAATTAGTATTAATTAACTTTGTTGTCTTATGTATTGAACTGCCCAAGTGTGAAGAGAGTTAGCACTGAATGTAGTCCTTTAGTATGAACTAGCAAATTAAATGTAATTTTAAATTAATTAGCTTGTTTTCTTTTCCCATTACAGGTGCAACAACCGAACACAGTGTATAGTAGTTACTGGGTCAGATGTGTTTCCTGATCCTTGTCCTGGAACATACAAATATCTAGAAGTTCAGTATGAATGTGTTCCTTACAGTAAGTATAATCTTTTTATTCTTGCTCACTTCCTCTGGCCCTCACAATTGAAGCTGGAGTGCTGTTACATGGAAAAGAAGCATATGTTTATGGCCCATGGACCCATTATGCATGCAAAGCACTTGCAGACTAGGGCCTCCAATTAGCTTCACAAAGTGTGGAAAGAAGCCATGGTGTGATGCTGGCCAAGTGTCTGTCTGTGTTCTTAAGTGTTTGGCTTTTAAGGCTACTGTTTTTCCAGAAAACAAACTCAAATTAGCTATTCAATAGGCCAGATAGAAATTTGTACTTTTGCCCACAACCAGTTGCTGACAAATTGGCTTGGCTCACAGACTTGTAAAGGAGGAATTGACTTCAATTTTAATCATGATCTACTTGAAAGGCTACCTGCTGCTGTGGTGACTTTGGTGCACAGCAAAACCCAGCACTGACATTCAGAAGCAAGTGACCCAGTTGGGGGACATTGTAAAAGGATTTTGTGCTTCGTTATAAATGAACACAGATTCAGAGTGAATAATTCATTAATAAGGTACTCACACTGTGTTCTTTAAAAGCAAAGGGGAAAAGAGTGAGAAAGAAATGTTTGCTTTTAATTTAAAGACAAAATATCAGTTGTGCCTTGGATCACCTATCAAAATATAGTTTTTCACTGAAAACAAAGTAAATAGTGAAATCATGATGAGATAGAAAAATGTGAAGTTATGGCTACTTCAACAGTTTTGTACAATATTCTTTATAATGCCAAAGTTCATTAGCTTTAGACATACTTCTTATTTCCTTGCAATAATTAATGCTTTTCTTTTATTGACATATATGCGTGTTCATGAAAGTTCTGCAGATTCGACACTTTTAACTGGTTTTGCTTTCTTGTAAGGTCATTCTTTGCAGTGAATTCTCTCTCATCCCGTAACTCAACAGAGAAATAGCTGTGCTTGCAATGGAATTTGAGTAGTGCACTGATCATTCCCTTGAGTTAGGCGTGAATGTCTTGATCTGCAGTAATCCTTAACCAAAGTTGTATTTTCTGTTGGTACAGGAAGCAGGCCAAGTCTGAGATGCAAAAACACTGTGGTGACAGTATATATTGAAAAAGGAAGGAAATGAGTTCTGGCATAAGCAAGGCTATGTCAAAAGTGTCCATACTGTTTCCTACAAAATTTAGAATTCTGAAACTGAAATACTGCTCTGTACTGCTTCACCACACTGAACCTTCACTGTTGTTAAAGGCCAAGCACAGATCATCTGTTTTTTCTTCATTTCTGCTGTGTCATTGTGAAATGGTTGCTTGCTGATTTTTTTCCCTGTACCATTTGTAGGTTTGGAAGCCTACTGCAAACAGTGATCCCTAGTACCATTCCTCCTGTGTGTAGTACTGGTGGCTTGTTGTAACTGTTCTTCTCGTGCCACTTTTGAGGAGTGATGTCTTACCCCAATCTAACCAAAGTTTTGTTCCACAAAGACCACTTCTGCTTTAGCACTGTTTTTATTCCCAAATTCTCAGAAAGAGGGCAGTGCAGCTGATTCCAAAACCTGAGGTCAGTCAAGTGACAAGAAGTTACATTCCAGTTCCAGTAGGCTAGCTCATAGAGGAAAAAAATATAATGCAAATAATGTTCAAACATAATTTCTTATGCTGTTTTAGGAAGAGAAGTGTGGATATGTTCTACTGATTGGGTATTGCTATCTCCAGGAATCTTTTCTTTTCCAGTTTCAGAAGTATAGTACCACAGCGCGGCCTACCCTGTACTCTAACTTGTAGTTACTTCAATTTTAAAGTGTTTATTTTTGTTTACTGTCAATTGCATTGGCCTACCCTTTGAACTCTGCAATTCTGTGTCTATCATAATTCAGGATTCTGGATGCTTTCCTGTTTTTCAAAGTCTGTAAGTTTTGGAGTTTGTCAACTGCAGCATGTACAGTGATGACACTGCCCAATTCCAGAACTCTAAGAGGCTTTACCTGTCATTACCAGCAGTCATCAAAAAGATTGCCAGTTACAAAAATGAGTTTTGAAGATTGATTTCAAATCATATTGGGCTTCAGTAGCCAGTTTGATTGTTGGCTTGTTCTCTTCCCTGTCCCACAAAGCCTATCCTGATATTTTTCCAAGTCTCTTTTTTTGAAGCCTGGTAAACTCCAGATATCAAGTCTAAATTTTATTTCTTTACTTGTTCCAGAGCTTCTTATATAAATTTACAGAATGACTGAAATAATTAGATTTGCAAATAGCAGCTGTCTCAGTGTAGGAGACTTGTTAGGAAGGTAGGATAAGCTTTTGTGGGCCGAGGAAGGGAGGAGTTTAGTGATGACAGCACTTCTAACCAAAGTTCATTTATTTAATGAATTTCATCTTCAGTTACTGCAAGACTGGAAAATTTGCAATACTCACTGTGGTAGCTTTCAGTCCATGAAAGATGAAAAACAGCAATCATAATGGTTTTTGTGGTAAAAGGTGAGAGTTCTTATGCACTGGAGTTGCTGTCACCCTTGTACAAAATGCAGTTTATGAGCTCCTCTGTGTCTTGCTGGCCTCCAGAAATACATAGCTGCTTTGCTTATTTGGAAGTACTTAATTTTGCAAATTTAATTAAGTTTGAAAGTACTTAATAAATGCTTCCTTTTTTGCATCTCAAAGTGCAAACAAAAAAAAACAAGCAAAAAACCCAACAAAACAACTTCTCAGAGACTCAGCTGGATCTCCAGCAAAAATTCCAGATAAATTTGATAGGCATTGCTTTGTTCTGAAATAATAAGAGTGTTATTGATTAAATTGCAAAGAGATTGAGAGTACTATACTTGATATTTCTCTCACTTACGCAGCACGATGTATGTTGGCACTTTGACTAACGGAAGTCAGCCCTTTCATAAAGAAGAACATCAAAAGTGCCATTTTGTATATCTGTGCATTTTTATTTTAATCCTATTTTGGACTCAGGAATTCAATAGAAAACATTTTAAAGTGTTTTATTCTCTCTCTGTGTGTATTGATTGGACTTTGCAGCATTTGTTTATTTCAATGAGCCCATCTGTCCCTGAAAAAATGTACAGCTGTACACCAGTGCATGCAGAGCAGACATGCCAGTAGTTATCTTAGTTATCCCTATCTTTTTCTCCCGTCTCCTATTACTAATTCTAAGCAGGTACAGTATCAATATTGCTCTTTGGCAAGAAATAAGCACATGCATAGAAGTTCACAAACAGAATCAGCTGAAAGTCATTAATACTAATAGTGAAACCCAAGAATTCACCTCAGAATACATCGTTTGTTTACTCAGATAAATCCAGAATTGCAAATTACAGAAAATCGAGTATTTTGCCTAAAGATGTATAATATCTTTGCAAAGGCTAGGAAAACTACTGCTCATTTTGAAAATATTGACCCCCTCTGGTTCCCCTGTAAAGTTATGGAATTGTTTCCTGAAGAAACACTAGATCAGATCAGCCAATATAATTATCAAAATAATCATATGTCATTTTATTAAATTAAACTGAAAATCCAAAACTTTATATGAAACATACAAAGGCGTTCTTCAGGATAATACTGTAATATTGAAAATGTAATAGCTGTGCAAATAGTTTTGATACACTTCCCTGGTATCAGCAGCTACTGTTACACAGATTGGTACATCTGTCATTTTCCAAGTCATTTTATGAAGCCAAGGGAGCATACTTCAAAGGCCACAGAGTATATGAAATAGGTTTTATTGCAAATAATTATTGAAAAGCTATTTACTGGCTGGGCTTCAGCTATATATCTTTCTGTAACTCCCTTAAAACTTCCTGGGGGAAAATTGCTATAGTAATATAACTTTGTTAATTGGTTTCGGTTTATGTCTTCCATGTATGGTGGCAGGATGGATGTTTGTTTGAAACGCAATATGGCTGTCCCTGCATACTAGCTTGCTGTTTCGAGCTTAATCGATGATGCTGGAGAACATCTGAATGAGCTAATTGTTAATTTTTTCTTCTCTTTTCCTCTTGCTTACTGTGCTTTTGCTTCTTTTTTTCTAGATGTCTTTGCTTATTCCTTCTAGTCTGATTTCGCAGTTAGAGACTAAGAAGTGGCAAAAGTTCTCAAGATTAACATTCAGGAAAACAAATAAAATAAAGTCTAAGGAGAGACAAAGGGTTCAAGCTGCTTTCTTTACAAGAAAGAAAAGCAGGAAAATGTCCGGGGCAAAGATGGGGGAGGTTTAATGATGACATATGCAAACCTATATAATTAATAGACTCAATTTTGTATTTCTAATTATCAATTAATATAATATGTATATGTGCACTTGCACATATATGATAAATAAATATGTTGCTTAAAGACCACCTTGATTAGCATTACACTTTTAGAAGAAGAAAGGGTGTATATAGCATGCATTAGTAAAGTAATTCATTATTTATTCAGGTTCACTAAGTGAAACTACATGCCAACATATCTGTATTCCCTCCTTAATCTACTAAAATGATTGATCCATGTTCATTTGTGTAACCGTAGAATCTCTCTCCTGCTAGGTTATCCTGTTGTCTGTTTCTCTTTATCCAATATAGTGCAGTTCTTATTCTCCCTATATTTAGCGTCTGTTACTAATTTAATCTTTTAGACTAATAGTCAATTTATGTTAATCTTCTTTCTTTTTTCCTTGCACTTTTTTATTTTTCTTCCGATGCTTAAAATAGAAGTGGAGCAAAAAGGTAAATAACGTATACAGTCCAAACCCCAGCTCCTTGTTATGTGCCTTATGGATGTTAACCTCTTCCCTTCCCCTCCCCACAACACTCTTATATTATGATAATCAGCAGGATCTCATAAGTACACCTCATAAAGAAGTCGACTGTTTGCAATAAAGTGACTTGGCTGCTTAAAGTAGGTGGCGGGGTATAGTGTCTGAAGTACTTGGGCTGGAGGGAAGACTCCCTTGCTTTTTTCTCTCCCTTTCTCTTTGTCTTTCTTTCCCTCTCTTTCTCTCACCCTTGGGTAAATTCTTGTTAATCAAGTGTCATCTTGCCTGGCTTCCAGAACCCTCTCCATAGCATGCCATGGTTACAGGGTTTCCTGGTCTGTTTCATTCATTGCTTTGGTTGTGTTTTGTTTTCTCTGCTCCTAATTGCTTTCTCTATATACCTGATGATTTGTTTTGTTCCTTTATTTTTAATCGAGGCACCTCCTTTTTCAGCCTCACCACTTCTTAAAGTTCTAAACAACTCGATGCGATTTTTTTTGGACTGAAATGACCTAGCACACTGCTGCACACCAGTTAAAAGCTCTGGAGCGTTAATGTGTACTCACTTAAAAGTCTGAAACGAAAATGCAAGAGTAGCTCTACATTTTCAGCTGTCTGTGTATGCCACTGAGCCTTGGTCTGTACTAGTGAAAACAGTTCCCATCCACTTTCCATACTGGTACAGCAAGAACATGGTAACTTTAAGAAAAGTGGATGATAAAGGGTGATAATTGCATTAATTATAACATAAGGTATAATCTAGTGCCAATTAAATTGATTTTTTTTTCTTCCTGACACAGTCATTATGATTTACCTACCTTTTTGTTTTTTTCTTTCGTTTTTTGTTTTTTTTTTTAATTTTTTATTATGAGACAGTCTTAATTTGACATAATTCTTGTCTTACTTCTCTCTGTGACTGTTAGTTTTTGTTTGCCCGGGGACGTTGAAAGCAATTGTGGACTCACCGTATTTGTATGAAGCTGAACAAAAAGCAGGTGCTTGGTGCAAAGATCCTCTCCAGGCTGCAGATAAAATATACTTCATGCCATGGACTCCGTACCGCACGGATACTTTGATAGAATATGCTTCCTTGGAGGACTTCCAGAACGGACGCCAGCAGACGACGTACAAACTCCCAAACCGAGTGGATGGTACTGGATTTGTAGTGTATGACGGTGCTGTCTTTTTTAACAAGGAGAGAACTCGGAACATAGTAAAATTTGACTTGAGGACTAGAATTAAGAGTGGAGAGGCCATAATCAATTATGCTAATTACCACGACACCTCTCCATACCGGTGGGGAGGAAAGACTGATATTGACTTGGCAGTTGATGAAAATGGCTTGTGGGTAATTTATGCTACGGAACAGAACAACGGGATGATAGTAATTAGCCAGCTGAACCCCTACACTCTGCGCTTCGAAGCCACCTGGGAAACGACCTACGACAAGCGCGCAGCATCCAATGCTTTCATGATATGTGGTGTCCTGTACGTGGTGCGGTCGGTGTATCAGGACAACGAGAGTGAGACCGGCAGGAACGCCATCGATTACATCTACAACACCAGGTTAAGCAGAGGCGAGCACGTGGACGTTCCTTTCCCCAACCAGTACCAGTACATTGCCGCAGTGGATTACAACCCCAGAGACAACCAGCTCTATGTGTGGAATAACAACTTCATTCTGCGATACTCCTTGGAGTTTGGCCCACCTGATCCTGCCCAAGGTAAGAATTTATTTTTTTCCCCTCATTTTTGATCTCTTTGTGTTTCCATTCAGAGAAATAAGTTACAATATTTTTGGTCTTAGATTTAGCTCATGGCAGAAAGGCGAGGAAGGGATTTTTGCCTGCACTGTGATGAGCTGAGCAGCATTACAGCAGTGCAAGACAAATCTGCAGAACCTGTGAAGTGAAATATAATTACTTTATTTGGTTTACAGGCTTATGCTTTTCTTTTTATCTTTTTTATCTTTTTTATCTTTTTTATCTTTTTTTTTTCTTTTTTTTAAATACAAATGCATAGCTTTGCTGCGTTTGAGAATGAGTTGGGGAATTATTTACCTTATACCATCAGTCAGTTTGACTCCGATAGCTAAACTGAGCTGGAGTTGCTTCATGCTGAGCCAGAAGCATGTTCCCATCCGCTCAGTGTTACCTGCCTTCTGAATTGATTACAGCATACATGCAGACCTTTTAACTTCTTGGCGCCAGCAGTGCAGAGCAGTGTGTGCTGGGAGGTCCCAGAGGAGACGTATGGGGTTAATGTGCAATACCAAGCATAAGTATTTTTCCGCAGCCTTATTTTCACAGTTTCTAATGTCAGGTTAGACGAGATTGTCTGACATCTTTTTAGTGGATTTCTCAGTAAGCCCCTTACAATTTCATTCCAGCTCGCTAGAAGTTAGTGCTACTTCCTAAAAGGAAAGATACTAACTGTCAAAAGGGAAAAGAAAAATTGAGGTCTTTATGTGTCAGAAATTCCTAAAAATGACATGAACAGGCACAGCCACATATTAACATCTACAGAAGAGAGTAAATACCAGGAGAAATGCTCTGTGGCAGAAGATGTATGCAGCAAAAGCTGCTTTAGCAATGAGGGTAATACTTCACTTCTCTCATCAAACTGCTATGCATGTTTAGCAGCCGTTTTTTTCTACTTCAAGAAAGTAGTAATAATGGCTCCTCCACATGAAAAGTAGCTGTCCTGCTTCAGTGAAGCTGATTCATGCACAGCAGTGCAGACTGTAATATGCACACAATTATAGCAACACACATACAGCTTTTCCAGGTACAAAGCCACATATGAGGCTGCAGAACAGGGTGGTGTAGTACCAATATGTTAGTGATCTCCAAAGCCATGGGTGATCCAGTCTCCTGCAGAGCCCCCTGGCAATACCTGGCCAGACTCAGGCAGGTTCCAGGTGTTTGGGGAACTGGCCAGCTTTGCTCTTGGTACATCGAGCAAGTCTATTCCTCAGGGAGGCTTTGGGGCTGCTCTTAGCAGAGGCATAAACCACCTATGTAATTAAAAAAAAAAAAATAAAAAAAAATTAAAGCTTTCATTTTCATACATTCTTATGCATGCCACTTCCCGTGCAGTTCAACTGAGACAAAGATGCATTTTAAATACTCCAAAGCTTTAAGAGTAAGAGGAGAAAATGGAGTTGTAGGCTCTAAGTAGCTTTTGCAGTTCAGGCAGCTGTTGTGAATGTGAAAAAAGCTAATCTCCAAGTCATTGCGTAGAAGGAAAGGTGTAAAGGAAAAGCAGGGGCAGAAAAGGTTTTGTGGAATCCTTCCTTCACTTCAATAAACCTCGAAAGGTCTCCAGTAAGACATTTCATAATGTTTTTATTATGAGAGAGTCTTCAAGATCTTACGTTACAGTGTATGTGCTGTCCACATCCCATCTGCTATCGAAACTGGATTTGGACATCCACCAGCACCCTTTTCTCTTCCTGGGTTCCTTGCTGGCATGCAAGGCAGGAGCAGAAATAGTTCATTCCAACCAGACCTAGGCAAGAATGGGTCCAGGGCACACTGCAGGGTGCCTGCCTCTGAGCTATTTGCCCATTCACCCATGAAGACAGAAAAGGAATATTTGAGTAAGTCATGAGTTTGGGTTTTAAATGCATTAGGACATCAGTAAATATATTTTGATTCTGGTCTTTTTTAAATATAGAAACCAAATAAAGACATGCATTTTATTTAAGCATGTGATGCATATATTCACACATAGTGTTTTTCCTTAGATAAAGCCAATACCCAATATTTTAATTTTGTATGGGTACGTACATTGCAGATCTAAGAATATGTTTCAGGTCATTTCCTCTTTTGCCTAAGCTAATTGCCTGTAGTTAGAAACTACTAAATGGAAGGAAAAATTATCTAACATAATTGTCCTTGAGATGTACTGCTATAAAAACAAGGAGAAATTCTTTACAGAATCTACTTCTATATTTATTTCTATTATATTTCCAGTTCCTCTTTGTTTCAACAAAAATTCTCTATAAATTGCAGCTCAGTCCTTTGTTATATAAAGGACCTGTATGTGTAATACACATTTGGATTTTTTATCTCATACGAAATTTTTCATCTCATATGGAATTAGATCAGCTTTTAAGTACACTTGATGAAGGGCATTTTCATGCTTCTTTTATTCTAATTTGGTTTGGGGTTTTTGTGATCAACTCAGATTTCTTAATCATCTACTCAACAACATAGGAGTTACGATAACATTCTGTAAGTCACCTAACAGAAGAATTTTCTTTTAGTGTCCTTTGCAACCGTACTTTAATATCAAGTATTTAATGGTGTCACAAGGTCAGCGTCTCAAAATTGGAAGTCATGGCCCTTTCTTTTTCAATGGTTAACTTGGGACCATTGTGGAAAACTCAGTAATCTGTGCTCCCTCCATTGCCAAGTGAGAAATAATGATAGATAAGACTCACACTGATTTTTATCATTTTCCCCTCTATATCTGTCACCCCAGGACACTTGGCTATCAGTTTTTGTCTACACTACAATGTCCAGCTACCAAGTGCTTCAAAAACACCAGTCTTTTTTCCTACATGAAAGATGAATTTGTCATACTTGAGTTGCACTTTCCCTTCAAATCTGCTCCCAGGGCCAAAACCTGGGCTCATCCATGTCCTGAAACTCCTCATTTTGTCTTCTCTGTTGTCTCCTACAATTTTAAATCTCCCTGTTGAATCCTCTGAAATACCACTGTAATTAACCTAATGTTGACCTTGATCTTGCTGCAAACCTACACCATTTTCTCTTCTTGCAACTTGCCCTGTATCCTTATTTTCTTAGTCTTCAGGAGAAACTCTTTAGATTTCTAAAACTGTAGATGCTGGAGACAGACTACTGCTTTAGTAGTGAGATAGTGGGGTCTGCTGCCCTTAGAACTCCTCCCTTAATCTCATTCTTTTTATGTTATTTTTCTTCTTTCTTCTCTCGGAAATTGTAGTACACAGATGTAATAGAATGACGGAAAGATCATTCAGTCCAACCATACAGCTCACCCTGCCGATTCCACCACTGAGCCATGGCCCTGAGCTCCACGTCTGCACACCTGATGCTGAGCAAATGCCCCAACTTGCATTTGCAAGGGGTCCTCCTGTTTCTGCAGTGCTTGTGTCTGCCAAGACGGTGCATTTGCAAGGTGCCTGCCAAGACAGTGCTACGTGTAAAACATTCAGCCTGCAGCTGGTGTGTCTCTGGCATAGATGTAGAGATGGTTTTCAGAGCTACAGCTGTCAAGTACCACTCAGATGCTGCAGAACAGCATGTTTTCTAAGATTAAGTGTAAAAAGCATTTTTAAATCTAAACCCCTAATTTAAAAATGAAATAAAATAACATCAGGCCTTGCAAACAGCCACTGAAAAATTTGAGACAAACCAGAGTTTTTATATCGTTGGTAAATTTAGTGAGTATATCCAATTACATTCTTTCTACAGGAGGTACCAAGGGTCCAAATGAATCCTTGCTGAAACAGGAATTTTTAAAGGAATTTTAAGTTAAAAGACCAGGAAGAATGAGACAATTTTCCCTCTAAAAAGTGAATATGAGCATTACATTGTAAGGTTTCCTTGGTAACAAAAAGAAGATAAATCCTTTTGTTCTGTGTTAGTGCATTACGGAGAGGTTTCATCTACACTCATCCCAATTTGTGCTAACTGTTCAAACTGGAGTTGTCTCCCCTTTTGTGCCATGATACCCATCATTAAGTATTATTGGATCACTGCAGGAAGAGATGGATGTTGTGAGTGTGGACACAACAGAAATTCAGAGAGTAGCATCACCAAGGGCTTGAAGTAATAGGAAACTAGTGCAATACCAAGAATCTACAAGAAAGTCATGCAACAAACTAAGTAAATTAGGTCTGTACTAGTTACTGTAGTAGTAAACTACAGATGAATGAAAGAGTGGTTGTACAAGTAAAAACAATATAATGGGGACCAGATAGCATATTTCTTAACCACAGGTATTTTGCTATCTTTTTTTGTCACGTTACCATTTTCAAGGTATAAATTTACAAATGGCTTTGTAAACATTTCACTTTCAATTGAATGGGATTTGGCAGGGTTAACGGAATACTGGCTAACATAATAGCTGCAGTCACCTATAGGTAATTAGGTGACTCTTAGTACCTTCCCTACTATTCACCGAAGCACAAAAACAGGTACAGAGCAGTAATGAGCAGAAGGCATTAAAACGGTGATTTTCACAGGTTTCTGATTTCTGTTGCTTTACACAGCAGCTCCGTTTATGACACTTTTTGAGAATAAAGGTGGGCACATCGATTTTCATGTGTTATAATTGAATAAATTGAAATACCTGACCCATAAGAATATACATTTAACTGATAAATCCATGCAGCTGATTTCTCAAATGACCTGGATGCCAGAGAGGCATTTTCTGAAACCATTTTCAGAAGTGGCACATGATTTGGGCATTACAATTAATACAATTGTAAATCTAAGGTTACAGTTATATTTTGGGTGGGGATATTTTTCATTTAGCTTGATTTATTTATTTTTTTCCAACTTATTTTATGCCTGCCTAGAATAGAAACCTGTTGGCAAGGAATACTAGATAGCTTGTGTGCCTTCTCTAAATCTGCTCTTCACTGTTAGTTGGGGAAAGAAAGTTACTATTCCCCTGCTTTCCTACAGCAATTGTGTTAAGTTTTTTATAGACATCACACTGCTAAACAGGTGTTAAGTTTTACTCCAGTGGTGTCTTCATTTTTAGTAACAGATAGGATACCTAACTGTTTAAATCAGCTGTTAGGAACTGCATGAAACAAATGTAAATTAATTACACCTCCATTTGAGTCTTTGGATTTACTTCTTATTGCTCTTTTCTCTTATTTTCTTAATTTTAATGACTGCCTTCAGCTGATAACAACAAGAACCTATTCTTAATAAAAAAAAGGAGGCAGAAGAGGTTTCGCTTTTCTCCTCAGCATATCAAGCATAGTCAAAAAGTCAAAATAGAATCTCTCATTGTAAAAGTGGCTTTTTTGGAGTTGGACAAAAACTACATATCTTCACCCCCTCTGCTTAGAACAATAGGTTAATCACCTTGACATGGAGTTTGTTCTTCTTCTCAGTTGCAGCCTATTAATCATCACTGCCATTATCTGGTATTGGCAAAGTGCTCTGCAAGGCAGAGCCTGCAGATGCCACCGCCCTCAGCTCTCAGAGACACATCAGGTGGTGGCAGCTGTCATGTGTCTTCTTGCAGCTCAGGAGAATGGCCGAGCAGATTAAGTTCCCACAGGTCATTAAAGACAAAATGACCTGCCTTCTGAAAGCTAGATATATTCCTTGAAGTGATGTGTTTTTTTATTTTTCAACCACTTTCTTTCCCAGACTTCCAGCACTGTCTGAAGTTTCCTGGTGCACTCTTAAATATGCTGACTTCTTTTTTTAAAATTTGATTAAAGAGAAAACCTCTTAGAAGTTATCTGCAGTTTTTTTCAGGTTTTTTTTTTTCAAGAGAGGTGCTTTAAAGTCTTTCTCTTACAATGTGAGATTACTAATATGTTTCTAAGTATGTTGTACTACCATGCTATGCAGGTCATTTTTCAATCATGGGTGATAGGCTTCAAAATTGATTTTAATGGATAGCATAAAAATTGTACTAACTAAAGTTGTGTAATGACAGCAGAATTATTTTAGCTCAGGGTGCAACACCAGATATGTCTTGAAAATTATTACCTCACCACTGAGCATCAAAGTGTTTTATGAATTCTGACTCGGATATTTTGCCCCAGATACAAAACTGTCCTAAACATTACAGGGTTGGAGTAGTAATTGCAATAATGCTAATACACATTTTGATGTTAAAATATGTATTAATTAGCAGAGTGTATTAGGGGATGGATTGTAATAATTGGTTGTCCCCTGAATCATTCTCCATCCCCACGATCTCCCTGTTCCTGAGGACCTGATTCAGCAGGCCTTGCCTGACACTTGTGCAAGTGATTGCAAATGCTTTTGACAAATGTTAATTGGGGAAGCACTAGAAGGCTGGATGCATTGTAATCAAAAGCAAATTAGAGCAGTTTCACAAGGTGTCAGGCAAGCACTTGCAGAACAGATCTGAAAGTTTCAGCAGTAGCTGAGTACACCACAAGTTCAGTACAATTACAGAGGCTGTGTTCAAGCAGCCAAGAATGAGATTGAAGAGAAGACAGGCTCTGCAGAAGTTTGTGAGCAGGAGAGGGATGATAGGCATGTCTTTGCCTTTAGTCTTGAAAAACAGATCATAATGCTCAAAACTTCATTCTAAATTCATGTGAAAATAAAAAATAAGTTAATATTTTAAATTTCTAATATAAGTGAAACATAATTGAAAAAGGGTTTTGAGAAAATTGTTATTTGCCAAACTGCTGAAGTTTAGTATTGTGCAAAACACCAACTTACAAAACAACTGCTGAAAAAAGTGAGACTGCTCTTCTTTTGGTTTTATGTTATTTGTGACTTAATTTAGAGAAGCTGGATTGTCCAGTAAGTCAGAGTTCAAGGGCCTAGCAGAACAAGAAAAAAAAAGAGAAAGAAGAAAGGCAAAAATATTTTTCATGATCTCATTTGCGCTCAGCACAAGCATCTGTACTTTTTTGTGCCTGTAAAGCGTTTTGAACACTGATGAATATTTGGAAATAGTGATAACCATTGCACTTGCTTTGCTCACTTGCATTGTTTCTCAGTATACATGTGAAGGTGTTGCACAGCCATTCCAGACTCCACTAGCATTAACTTACTTTATGTCTCCAAAGCCTGAAAGCCCTGGCATGGCTTGGGCTGTACCTCAGCAGTTCCAGCCACAAGTTCCTGCTGGGGGTCAGTGGCAGGAGCAGCTGCACATCCTGAGCAGGAGGGATTTGGCCAAAGCCTGTCCTGGTGTTTCATAAAAGATGAAAACTTGCTCCTTGACACTGGCTTGTATGAATTGTGTCTTCATACCTGCTTTATCAAAAAAGAATGTTAAGGCCCCAAATGTTCAAAGAGGAGAACGCCTGTACCTGCTGGGTTCTGCCTGTGTTTGGAGCTAATGGGGCATGCAGCTCTCTCAAGCAGAATGACTGCTGGGTAGGAAGATGTTATCATAATTATTGCCCTGGAAGGTGTGTACTGGGTGACTTGAAGTTTTGGGGTCTGTTTTTCAAAAACGGTCTCGTTAGTTACAGCCCACTGCCTTTGTTGTTAAAGCTGGACTACATTGTTCACGGCACACTGATTCAAATGATTCTATCTATTGAGTTGTTCCTGCTGCAAATGTGATTAAGTAATCTTTAATTGCTTTGAGCGTGTTTGTTATGTACTGATAACTCACTAGTATGCTTTTCAGCTTTTAGAAATGTAACTATCAATTTTTATTTCAGAAGGGATTATTTCAGAATGTGCTGAAACGTCATAACAGTATGAGCTGGGAGTAAAAAGAAAAAAAACAAACTCAAAATAAAGTCAAAGTTATATCTTAAGCACCCAGAATAGCAATAAGTGTAATATTAAGATAAAGGAAAGGAGACACCAGAGAATCCTTGAAAGCTACATAAATAACTTTTAAATAACTTTTTTAAAATATAATTCTGAAGTAATTTACTTTATTATTACTCTGATTTTTCCCTGTTCAGTGCCTACCACAGCAGTGACAATAACTTCTTCAGCAGAACTTTACAAAACCACAGTGTCAACCACTAGCACTACGTCACAGAGAGGTCCCATAAGCACAACATCGGCTGGAGGAACAAAGGAAGGAAGCAGAGGACCCAAACCACCACCACCCATTTCCACAACCAGAATTCCTCCCGTGACAAGTTTCTTCCCTTTGCCAGAGAGATTCTGTGAACCAACTGAGGCCAGGGGGATTAGCTGGCCTCAAACACAAAGAGGAATGATGGTTGAACGCCCTTGCCCCAAAGGAACACGAGGTATTGCCTTTAAAAATATATCCTGATTTCAAGCAGACATTTCAAACGCAATGTGCAGCTCTCTCATGATGAATATCTTTAATCTCAGGCTGTCTATCACATGATTTTTTTGTTACCCAGAGAGTGAAGTATCTACAGGCAATGGTCAAGTTATAATCTGCAAACATCATTTGAGCATAGCCACAGAATTACCTTGCGCTTGCACTTTTGTGAATCCAGGTCAAATTTTGGGGCCTTGCTTGAGGACTGCTGTGAAATATGCTTACAGCTGCCTTTTTCATTATGAACTCACCTCTGGATGAGCTCCAGGAAACATCAAGGGCTTTTTGTTTGTTTGCAGAAAACGTCTGGTACTTTTCACTGACTTTTTTTTTTTGTTCTTTGTAATCTACATTATTTCCTTACGTTTTTGTCAATTATTGTCAAGTACTACCATTAGCAGCATTCAAAATTGAATGTTGTTTAGGAGCACAGTGAAGCCAATTTCCTGAATGCATGCAGAAAAATGGTCTCCATTTCACTGTAGCTTTCTACATCTGTTGTAGGAACTGCCTCGTATCTCTGCGTGGTCTTAACAGGAATGTGGAACCCCAAAGGCCCTGATCTTAGCAACTGTACCTCACACTGGGTAAATCAGCTGGCTCAGAAGGTTGGTTGAAACCTTTTAATCCAGTGTATACTGGTGATTAAGGATTTTAACTGTGAGCATTAATATTTCAGTTTGTTGAAGTTGTCTTTATGTCTGTGTTCATTAAAAGTAGGAGTTGTGTGTACTCCATGTGCAAAGCACTGGCCAACAGTTAGGCTTTTATGTGTGTTTTAGTATGCCCTCTCTAAAATTCTTATGTTGAATTTGTGATTACATGTTCTCATCACTATTTAAAACAAAGTAGCTTTGCTTGTTTTCAAAAACCAAAAGTAATATTTGCTTAAAAAATCAAATACTATACAACACACAGCAAAACCTGTGGTATACAGCAAGGGTTTTTTGTTCAGTAAAAATTACACTGTTATAAATAGATTTTTGCCTGAGTGCATTGATAACAGTATGATTAGACCACAGAACCACTTTCTGTGTTTTCCTTCCCTACTGAGATTTACAAAGTTTATGAAAACTGGATAATTTGTTATCAGTACAAGGCTACTTGACTTTCAAATGCCTCAAGCACTAGTATGAACAAACAGATTTCTTACTGTCTGATAATGGCAGTAAAATAAAAGTGAGGATGAATAGAAGATCGAGCCCAAAAGTCCCACTCAGATTTCTGGTTTTGATGGCTGTTAAGAACTGCTTTTGTGTGTCACGGATCTAAGAACCTTTAATCTTCTGAGATAAAGAGAACGTTATTGGTCTCAATTAGTTACAGATTTCAATGTGTGTGCAAATGGTTATTTCACCACAACAAAGGTACACAGGGAATTGGAATTAGGAGCCGCAAGCAGAACAAGGGACCCTGCTGAGATAATATAAACTGTCATTTCAGATCAGAAGTGGAGAAAATGCTGCTAGTCTGGCCAATGAACTGGCTAAACACACCAAAGGACCGGTCTTTGCTGGCGATGTTAGCTCATCAGTGAGGCTGATGGAACAGCTCGTGGACATTTTGGATGCTCAGCTTCAGGAACTACGGCCCAGTGAAAAAGACTCTGCTGGAAGGAGTTATAACAAGGTACACACCTCCCACCACCTCCTCCTGCTGGGATAACAATTGCCCTTGGGTTTGGTGTTTTTTTCCTTTCAGAAATATTAATCTATACTTTGTTCCTGCATGTGTGTTGTTCTGGAATAAGCATATGAGAGAAAACAGCAGTAAATACACAGTGGAAAGTTGTAATTACCTTCTTTAGGGAATAAGATATAATTCACAATAGCTGACTGGTCCTAAAATACATAGCTGTGTCCCATTTTAAAATCTGGAATGCATTATAACTAGTGTGAGGGAAATGAGTATTAGCTCTCAGAAATTCTGTAACAAATCAGCATGTTTATCCAGTGATCCTTTTAACCCTGAACATGTAATAAAATCAGTGGAATTCTGCATAGGTGCAGGGTTTTATTTTAATCCAACTTCCTGCAGAATAATAGCACTTTCTTAGACTTCTAAAGACACCAACATGACTTATAATTGATCTTTATAAAAATGCCTTACTGCACATATCTAAGACATGAATTAATGTTTTCTCTGGAAACATGTTCCAAGAAACATTTCAGAGAAAATGTGTCTTTGTGGTTTAAATACAAATTACAGTGTTATTACCTTTCCTCTTTTTCTCAGAGGAAATGCTGTATTTCTCAGCCTCTTCCTTGTGTGAGCCTAGTCAGCAAGCCACAAATGAAATATTTTTTCATCCTTTTTTAGAGAGAGAGATCCGTGCACTTTTCTGTTATTTTGGCAATAGTTTTATTTACAGTCCCTAGATGCCCTTAAAGTACTTTTCCGAAACACAGATCAAGTGCCCACACATGCATTTTTTCCTTTGACCTTTTCAGACAAATCCCACAATTTGGGCAAAAGATATCTAGACACCTGAGTAAAGGTTGCTGTGCTGCTTTTGGCTGGGGTAGAGTTAATTTTCTTCACAGTGGCTAGTATGGGGCTACGTTTTGGATTTGTGCTGAAATCTATCTTTCATATCTTTGATAATTTGTTAATGCTGAGCAGCACTTCCACAGCATTTTCTTCTTTTCGTACTGCCACACTGACAAGGAATTTGGGAGTGCGTGGGAATTTGGGAGGGGACACAGCTGGGACCTCTGAGCCCAACTGACCAAAGGGGTATTCCAGACCATGTGACATCATATTCAGCATATAAAGCTGGTGGGAATTAGGAAGAAGTGGGGGATTTTGAAGTTACGGTGTTCTCCTCCTAGGCAACCATTACATGTGATGGAGCTTGGCTTTTCTGGGAATGGCTGAACACCTGCCTACCCATGGGAAGCAGTGAATTAATTCCCTGGTTTATTTTATTTTCATGCACAGCTTTTGTTTTACCCACTGAACTGTGTTTATCTCAACTCATGGATTTTCTCAGTTTTACCCTTGTGATTCTTTCCCCAATCCTGCTGGTGAGCAAATGAGCAAGCAGCTGTGTGGTACTTGGTTGCCAGCTGGGCGTAAACCACAGTTGGGCAAAAACACTTCCTGTGTGATGTTCTTTTGTAGTCATCAAGGACAGAAGCTAGATTAATGTCCAGGCTATCATTCAAAATCAGGATTTGAAACACCAGAGTATTTTTTTTTCTCTTTCTGAAGTTTTCCAGAATCTTTCTAACTTCTGATTTTCTTTTTCCTTATTAAAAAGCTCCAAAAACGAGAGAAGACGTGCAGGGCTTACCTTAAGGTATATCTCCTGTGCTGTCACCCTGCTTTCTCCCTGCTTCAGCAACCTGCCACGCTTTATCATCTTGCTGCATGATCCTATGTATTTCAGTCTTTGATAAATGTGTATTGTGCCCCATATCAACTTTACAAATGTTGGCTTTGCACAGGTATAACACTAAGAAAAAAACAAAAAAGATCAAAGTTCATACTTCTTGTACCTTAACTTGTTCAAAACTAAAAGAGCAGAAGGGATTATTATCTGAATTGGAAGTAGCATGTCTCTTGTAATAAAATTTTGGGTAGGGGGAAAAAGCTTGCAACTCAAAGAAATTAGTTCACCTTGGTAGAATTTTATATCAAAGACTGTTTAGAGTTAATTTGCTTGCAAGAAAAATGTATGTTATATAGCTTGCTTTGTGTCTAGTCTTATGCCTGGTAAAATCACTCTTTCTTACAGTTTTAAGAATTGTTACAATTCAGTGACTTGAGGATACAATGCAAAGACAAACATTTCTCTAACTTCACTAGTAAAATGTCTGCCACGTGTCCCATTAACCAGGCTATATAGGAGGCATGTAACACATTGCTACCTGATTTCCAGTTCCTTTCATCAGCTGTAGAATGGTTTCCTGTTGTGGCCAGCTCCTTTTCTGCCATACAATGCCAGTAATGCCACCTCGCTCCTATGAAAGGGAGAAAAAAAGTCCTAGAACAGATGTGTCTGGCTCTGAAAGATTTTCTTGTGCATTTTTTCAAAACTTCTTTTAAAATACTGATTTTTTTACTTATACCCTCTGAGATGAAATGTAAGAATTATTTTTGGAAAGAATTTTGAAATACTTTACAGCATAATAAAAAAATTCAGACCCTTACAGAAAAGAGATTTCTCTGTACAGGGCACTTCTGTCTTTTATCCTAAAGCCCTGGAAGTGGATGGGAGATGTCCAGTTATACAGAAATTTGACAAAAAAGACAAAGATCTGGAGAGAAAGTCACTTCTCAAGTAATAATAGCTGTAATAGGTTTTTATTAGAAAATATTTTTTAATAGGAAAGGGTAATCCACCAGATGTGGTTTGGGTAGTGTGGCTTTTTCTATTTCCTTTTCATTAGTAAACAGGGTGGTGAGAAGAGCAGTAACAGGGCTGCTCTGACAGCTGTGCCACAGGGACTGTGGGGTTTTTCCCACCCATTTGCCTTTGTCTGAAATATTCAGAAATATTACTGGGCAGGTGCTGATTTTCCACAAGGAGAATGCAGTTAGGTTATCCCATAATAAACGAAAAGCGTATCGTATCAATGAATGCCTACCGTCAGTGCTATATGGCGATACATGAGAAACCAGAGCAGAACCTTAATTTCCAACTGGTGTCATTTTCTGAATGTCTCAAATGGGCTTCTCTGCTTAGATAAGACTAATAAACCTCTTGAAATTACAAATCAAAAGCTGACTTACACTATGCAAATGAAGCAAGTTCCCACTTTGTGACAGAGAATTCATTTGTACCTCAGATTAGAGGCTCCAATCTGTATTTCTTAGTGACTAATGAATCTGGCCTCTGCAGACCAATTTCTGTTCCACTCTAGTACATGGCTGCAGCGTTTTGACTATTCTGTCTCCCATTAGAGAAAGAAAAAAGGCTTTAATGCTGCTTCGAAGTATCTTCCACCTGCCAGGAAGGTCGTGGTGGCTCACAATGCAGACAGAAAAAGGATATTAAAATGGATTAGGCTAATTAATCCTGCTCTGACAATAGCCTTGACCAAGTTTTCCCATTCGTTTGTTTGCACAATATAGTACTCCAGACTGACATCTTTCTGTTTGTATAATGTGTTCTGTTTCCATTTCCAATGCTTTTAAATTGATCAAACAAATTATATATATGCTTAATGACACATTAGGAATAGGTAAATGGGACAGAGTAAACAGGGTGTTAGAGCAGTGCCTGGTGTACTCGGTGCACAGCAGCGTTATGCATTAATGTAAAAGCCTGCCTTCAATTGATTACCTGATTACTCTGATTGGATTATTTTGTAAAGTAATGTAATCATGTCACTGAATTATTCTTCTTCTTTATTTATTATTACCTTATATGCAGCTCAGTGAACCTTAAAGCATGATGATAGAGTTTTTACAAGTAAGACTTTTTAAAATAGCAGCTTTTATTCAGCTTTACAGTTTTGCCGTCACTGATAACAGGAACGGTCAGTGGACATCTTGTTTGCTCTATTGATTTCCTTTTCTAACTGACCTTTGTGCAGGAATGGGAGTTTGTAATCCTTCTAAGTATCTATGAACAGGTACAGGAATAGGAGGGGGAGTGAGAGTGGCCAGAGCTAATTTATATCCACTGAGTCAGCTTCATTTCATGCCTCCTGTAATAAAGAAGGTCTATTTGTCATAGACAAGTAGTTTATAGTGCTATGCCTGGACTAGTGGGGCTCAGTTTCCAGAGGAGTATTACTGTCATTTTAGCCTAAACTGTGGAGTGCTAATTTTGGCATTAGTATTTTTAAACAGAAGTTATACATTTTGACATTAAGATGAAAGCTTCGGGCAAGACTTCTGGCATTTGTTTTTACATTTTTCAGCACATTAATAATACCATGCTTTTAGCTGATACAAAACAAGTCAAATTTGCATGTTTACTGCTTAGAGACCACACAGAGCTAGTGGCTAGCTGCGCTTCTATTCATGCTAATCCAACAAGCGGATGGAAAATATTTTAATGTTGAAAATAGTGTTCTTGTACCATTAAATCACAATAAATCATTCTGACAGTTAAGTATTATAATTGTCGCCATATAAGACTGGGAATTTTCCCCAGCTGCCTAGGGCTTCAGACCTAATGATAGTTTTCTAATGAATGCAGGCAGTTGTGGATACAGTGGACAACTTGCTCAGGCCTGAAGCTCTGGAGTCCTGGAAAGACATGAATTCTTCAGAACAAGCCCACGCAGCCACAATGTTACTTGATACATTAGAAGAAGGGGCTTTTGTCTTGGCTGATAATCTTGTAGAACCAAGTAGAGTCTCAATGCCCACAGAAAATATTGGTAAGTAAAGTTCTTTTCAAGCATAAGTTAAAGTGCTGTGTATTGCTTTACACAAAAGGAGGAGAAGGTGCTCCAGACAGTGAAATACTTTCTGAAGGCTAAGTTGTGCAACGTTTGATGGAAAGGTAACTGCTCTAAAGCAGGGAAAACACACTTTTCTTGTTTGGCTCTTTGAAATTAGCCTTCTTCTTTAGTGTCATTAGTACATTATAAAATGGAAAGTAGTTGATGTTACATAGTTGATTTATCACTGAGAAATCATTAGCAGAACACGTGGATATGAAGAGTGCTTAAAAGTCAGAGTATGGATTTTTTTGAGGTAACTGCTTTCTGTAGAGCTGCAGAAAATACTTTCCTGTTAAATATAAACTGTTCCTAATGAATTTAAATTACTTTTTTTGCAATATACTGTGCCAGTTAAATATTTTAGGCACTCAGCATAGGCCAAATGTTTATATTAAACATGACTACCTTCAGGTAAAAATGTGTTCAGTGAACTACATCTCCCATAATGCAGAATGGCTATGCTCCAGAGACTGCAAAATAGCTGGAGATAGTTGGAGCATAATTTAGAATTTAAGTGGTGACAGAGAAATGAAAGGGTTTGGTATTAGAGATGTGCAAATATTGTTGCGCAGGATGTGTTAAAGCAAAAATCATTGCTATGCATGAAATTAAAATTCCTTATTACAGAGATTAATGTAGTCTCAGTGAGGCACAAGGAACCTAAAAGTCTGCTAATATGCAGAGTACCAAGACAGAGACTTGGAATAGACTGCAGAAATGAGACTTTTCAGTGTCTGCCTATTTGTAGCTGTAGAAGATGATTCGACCTAGTTTTTAATTGAGTAGGAAGATACTGGGAAAGGATAGGGAAAAGTCTCACAGTCTGTTATCAAAGGAACTGCACTAGTTTTGAAGGATTGTGTGTAGAATCACAGATCTGCCTTTGGATGTATACAAGCAGTTCCATGGAGATGAGTAGACACTGAGTATTACTTCTTGTGATAAGCTGTCTTCATGTCATAATAGTACTTTTCTGATGTCATGCATGACTGAATTCCTAGTGCCCATATGTATGTATGGCTTGGAGAAAGAGAAGTGATTTCCTAATTTCATACCTTTTGTCAGTCTGTAGCTCAGAGCTGTAGCTAGACTGGTTTAATAGAGCACAGATTTTGTCAATCAATTGTCCACTCTCAGCTGTATCATTTTATCTGTCCAAGGAAATCCAGCATTCGGTGGTAATCCCGTGAAAGTTTCTTGACATACAGTGTGTTACAAAAGTTATACTTAAGTATGGCTGAGTGGCATCTGATTTTTCAATTTAAATGTTTATTAGCAGAACTAATAAAATGGTTTGCTATAATTATACAGAATTAGATGCGGAAAACAAAATGGAAATAATTTTTAGTTACGTATACTGGTTTAGCTTAATACATGGCATGAACATACTTTGGTATTCTTTGCTGGCTGTTAAAAAAATCTTTACATCTAAATCAATACTTAAAGTTCTAAATTTGTCAGCAGAGGATACTGCATAGACATTAAGATCTTCAAAACTAACATTTTTTTGCAACATGTGTGTTAAGTGGATGTTTTGTGGGCACAAATTTGAACAAGGTTTGATGGCATGTTATCACTACTAAAGTGCTGTCATTTTAGCAGTGTGCATTAGATTTAGTTAAAGAAGCTGAGTCTGGGTGATTGAAGCATGCAGTACAAATCTGCCTTACAGACAGCCATGTGAGAAAACTAAATAAAGACTTGGGGGGGAAAAATTGTCGTCTGGCATATTGTAATCTGGCCAAGAGACTTTCTCTGCATTCTCCTTTTTTAACACTTTTTTTCCGCCCCCCCCCTCTGGTCTGCTTAGTTTTGGATGTTGCAGTGCTTTCTACTGAGGGCCAGGTGCAAGACTTGCGATTTCCTCAGGCTGGAAAAGGAGGCAACTGGATTCAGCTCTCTGCACGAACCATGAAACAGAACAGTAGGAACGGTGAGTCTTGGGCAGGAACAGTGGAACTCCATGAACTTCTATAAAACCTACCTTTCCTAGTTAAACATCAAAACAAAACACCACAAAGCTGCTGTGTGGCTTTTTCTTGATGATCATGGGAACCTGGTCATTGCTTTTCAAATCCATGGCCTGAAAATACCTTTCAGTTTACTGATGCTTAATTGTCATTAGAGTACAGGTCGCTGTCTTTCTGTAGACCTCTGTGGCATAACGATGGGCTTTTTTTTTCTTTTGTAGGGTTAGCCAAACTGGTTTTCATTATTTACAAAAGTTTGGGACGGTTCCTCAGTACTGAAAATGCAACCATAAAGTTAGGCAGTGACTTGGCGGGGCAGAACAGCACAATCGCTGTCAACTCCCACGTCATCGCAGCCTCCATCAACAAGGAGTCGAGCCGGGTGTACCTGACTGATCCCGTGCATTTCACACTGGAACACATTGATGTGAGTTATGCTAATGAATTGATGGGAAGGTCACAAAATCAGCAAGAGAGAAAAGCAATGCAGAAAAACAACCTTTTTTTCCATTTGAATTTTAAATGTTGGACTAGGTCAGAGACACAAGTTAAGTCTATGAACATAAAATTAAATGAGCCTGGTTCAGTGATTATTAGAACTTAAGTGTATTCTTAATGAAAGCTAATTCAGTAATCAACATGAAAATGTAAATGACTAATTTGTTTCTAACTGAAAATTAACTCTTACCTTAGTAGAAGGGTAGAAAATAACTCTTAAGAAAGATTCTTGACGGTTTGATGTAGTAAGTTTTATTGACACTTTAACTTTTTACATTAATTTTGGACCAAATTATGGAAGCTTATAAAAATTGTTCAAATTGCATTTATTCAGCAAAGAATAAAGTATGGTATCTTGGCTTGTTATACTTTGAATTTACGTATATTTCCCTCATGGTATCTTATTTGATGTGTTTCTTTGCTCTTAAGTTTGGCCCTTTCTCTTTTCATGTCTCATGTGGGGAAAATTAACAATCACTACTCTGATAGAGAAAATATGGTTAGATTTTACTTTATTTTGCCTATTTTTATAAATCTGGTTGGATTGTTTTTCATCAAAGTAGATAGGCATTGAGGAGTGAATTTTTTTGTGATATCTGTTCACATGACTTTGGCCTGACCAAAGGTGAGAATCAAAGGAAAAAGATCCTATTTTCAAACTGATAATTACAGGAAAAAATATCTGCAGAATAAATTCACAGTCCTAACTTTTCAGAAAGCAAAAATAGCTATAATGTACCATCCATGCATAAAAACTGTAATTGCTTAAAATTGGGTCTACAGTAATTGAGACTGCACTTCAGAGTGCTTTGGACTATAAAGTCCCTTTTAAACTAGATGTCTTCCTTGTGCAACACAGTCCACAGTTTTGCTGATGAAAAACTTTATTGTCCAAAACATGCAAAATTTAATCTAAATTACCCTTTACATATATTTAACAATTGTTATTGCCGTCTTAGTGTGCAATATCCTCATTTTATGTTATCCTTTTATCTCCCAGCCTGATAATTATTTCAATGCAAATTGTTCCTTCTGGAACTACTCAGAGAGGACTATGATGGGATACTGGTCAACTCAAGGCTGCAAACTGGTTGACACAAATAAAACTCATACAACGTGTGCTTGCAGTCACCTCACCAACTTTGCAATTCTTATGGCTCGTCGGGAAATTGTGGTAGGTAACGATGTTTCCAGCCATCAGCAGGGAACAAACTTAAAAGACTTAGTTTTAAACTTTTGACAAGATTCAAAATTACTGAAATTTCTTTAGTATTTGTAGCTCCTACCCACTCTTTCCAAAACTATTTGCTTTCTGTAGCACTTTTCTTCCTCATCCATAAAGTTGCAATCAAAGTGACAAGAAAGAGAAAACAAGGAAGGCCAAGAGTTTCCTACAAGCCATATTTTAAAGTTACTGACCAACCTTACAACCATTTTATAGACTCTCCCTCAGTACAGATTGAGAGTGTCTGTTGAGACAGCTGTGCAGGCTGTTCCCTGGAAGCCCAGGTGCCCGCTCTCCTTGGCAAGGAAGGTCAAGGAACTTCCATAGTGATTGTTCAAACACCTCTTCATAGTCAGAAACTTCGTTGTCTATTTAAAGCACTTCCTGCATGTCAGGGGGCCCGGAGCATGCAATATTTGCAGCTGTATGGGATTTCTCACAAAGCCATTGTAGTTGAAAAGGTCACTGCAAAGAACAGCACCAAGGAATCTCCTTTAGCTAAACATGAGATCGAAGCCAGAATTACATGTGCAGCATATTCTGCATTTTGTCCTGATCAGTTTGTAAAACATTGCCTTCTTCTCTGCTGTGGAGTTGCAGGTCTGTAAAAAAGAACATGTGCCCTCATAGAAAGTCCCAGGGAAAGCTCTCCTCTCTCCTTTCATCAAAGCCTGGTGGTACCTTAAAAATGTTATGTTTCTCTGCTCATATTTCCAACCAGTCTGCAGTGAGCCATAGCAAAAGTAAAAATGCTATCTGATCTGGACAAAACAGTCACATTTTTCTCTCAGACCTGCTCCTCTTCTACTTACCCTGATCTTCTGGGAAGCTGACCTCAGATTGAGAAATTACTGAGTGCATTTTGCCCATCTCATGTAATGAACAAGTAACTTTTCTGGATACCTGTGAAAATAGGTTTTTGTTTATACTCATAAAGAGTCATATTAATTTTCTCCATTCTTGGTTATTTCTAGTACAAAGATGGAGTGCACGAATTGCTCCTCACTGTCATCACCTGGGTGGGAATTGTCATCTCTCTTGTTTGCCTGGCCATCTGCATCTTCACATTCTGTTTTTTCCGTGGCCTGCAAAGTGATCGTAACACTATTCACAAGAACCTTTGTATCAACCTATTCATTGCTGAGTTCATTTTCCTAATAGGCATCGATAAGACAGAGTACAAGGTAAGTTTTCTCTCTGTGTACTGATCTTGTTCTCTGAATGACTGTTTGAAACGGATTTGAATTAAAACATGACAACACTGACAAGTTTTCAGCTCTCTAACACAGCAAGGCTGAAATAAAAGCTCAGCATGAAAATAAGATATATTCATACGTAGTATTTACATCCATCCAAAATATGCTTTTCATTTTCAGCTGAGAAACACTGACTATTAATGAGGCAGGTGGTTAGACTTTTGAAAGAGGAGATGAAATTGAATGTTGACTATTAGGAACATATATATGTTTTCTATGTATATTCAAATGTCCTGACAGGTATTGACTACATTTTTATATATATGCGTACAAAGCCTTTTCTATATGTGTAAACATTTTTTACACTTCACATTTAAGCAGGTATTTTGGTAGTATTGGTAAAATTAATTCTTACATGATTCATTGGGTTGAAACTAATAATCTAGCATAGTTTCATCCAGAATTTGGCCAGTGGAGAGAGAATTCAGACCAATTTCTGTTACAACAGTAGAACTTTCCATATTACAGCAGACAAAAATCACAGGGCAGACACTTTATAATTTTAAATATGTAGTATCACATTATGCATAGAGAACCAACTGTTCATGTCTAGGATTATCTAAACTGTAAGTCCTAAAGCTGTATTAGTTTCAAAATTAGAAAATTCCTTATAAAATTAAGAAATCCACTCTGAAATTGATGACTGGGAGGTGAGGGTGCAATTTCCTTATCTTCATTCACACTGCTGTGTTATGGCACATGCCACAGCGAAGCCATGAGAGCGACCTGCGTTCTCAGAGCCCGAGAGCACCACTAGAGATTGCTGACGATAAAGGGGAAGAGACAGGTCCTCGTTTGGGTAGCCAAAGACTGTTTATTCAACGGATAACAGCCTCCAATGAATTCAGCGATGAGAACAGGATTGGGCTAAGGGCACAGGGTTAAATGAGGGGCAAAAGGGGTGCCTCTGAGCATCGAGGTCCAATAGGGACAAGGGAAAGCGGTGCAGGGCAGTGGCTAAAGACTGGGAGAACCAATGGGATAACAGGGGTGGAGCAATATGGCAAAACAGAGCCAATGGGGGTTAAGGGAAGGAAGAACATCCTAGGAAGGATACATAAATGGCGAATGGGGGCTGAACAAGGGTGACCAATTTCCACAAACCAGTAGAAAGAACCACCAGAACCCAAAAGGCACCAACATGTGGCTGCAAAAGCCAGTGAGAACAAGTTTTTCCCCACCCTAACCATGAGGGGCATCTCCCCTCACCTGATCCGTCCTCTCCAGGGTCAAGGCACCCTGGCATCAGGCCCCTGGGCCTCCACACTGTTCAGCTAATTAACTTTCTGTAGCTACTGAGTGCATAATAGTGTTTTCAAATGTTCAGGGAATGTTTTGAGGTAGGGGAGATGCTCCTGAATTTGTGAAAGGTCTCTAATAGAACTATCTGCTGTTCTATTGTACACTGGTCAGTTGGAGAGGTAATGATGTGAAGGTTTTGTGGTTTACATTTCCATCTCTCTCTTTCTTTGCAGATTGCATGTCCGGTTTTTGCAGGTCTCTTACACTTTTTCTTCCTGGCAGCCTTTGCCTGGATGTGTCTAGAAGGAGTGCAGCTTTATCTAATGTTAGTAGAAGTATTTGAAAGTGAATATTCTAGAAAGAAGTACTATTATGTTGCTGGCTACCTCTTCCCTGCTACAGTAGTTGGTGTCTCAGCAGCTATTGACTATAAGAGCTACGGAACAGAGAAAGCGTAAGTAATTGCAAGTGACCTGAGTGTTTTTCAAGTGAATAATTTTTTAAAGCCTATTAGCTGTCAGAGGGTCCCTGACAGACTAAAATACCATCTGAAAGCTTTATTGGTAAGAGAATGGCAATGCTGTGCACAAATTACAATCAAGTCTTTTGTAATTCTCTAGGTTCAGGGGATTTGTACTCTGGAGAGACCAATTCTAAATTATAGTCTTTCTTTTAACACAAAAGATTGACCTGAAACAAATTGAAAAAGTAAATAACTTTTTGTCCTCGGATGTATATTAAGCAAAAATTCTCAACTTAAAGTATCTGACAAGCCTAACCATCCAGTTTTAAGCTAATGCTTCATTAGATCTCTTTGTTCAGCTGTCCCTCTAGCTAGCTATCATCCTGAATTATGACAGTACAATATTCCAGCCTATGTGTCTTATTTTGATAATATTTTATCAGGCAAGTAGAGTGGGATTAAAATTAGCCACAGCCTTTTATTTACAAAAATACAGATGTATATAGGAAGTGACAGAAGGTAGACAGAAAACATTTCTGAGGATTCGAGTTGCTGGAGGCATGAATTTGCCTTTCAGTAGTGTTTATTTTGTCCTTTGATGAAATTAGTCACAGAATGGAAAGATACTGTTGACTACAAGAAAGCTGCTTGATTTTGCTACTGATGAAAGACAAATAAGAGAATTCAGCAGGGAACTGGGCTGTATGAAAAATGAATTGCTAAGTGGAGTTGGCCCTAATAGGTTTATACGTAATTTAGTCTGGTGTCTTATGTATTCTTTCTCTACAGTTCAACTCCCAGATGGGGCATTTTATTTATACCATATTGTTATTCAGCAAAACATGGCATCTGAATTTCCTCAGGCATGAGCATTTAACATATGACATAAAGTTAAAAGCAGACTTTGGAGATCACATGGGAAGCCCGCAAAAATTATTTTCTGATGTTAGTTTCATTAGTCCATGATAGCACCTGTCACCAAACCTTTTGACTGAAAGGAGAGCTTGTTTTGGTTTAGTTTCTCCTGATGTTAATTATTCCTGATGATGGAGTTTCAGGTTCAGTAGTATTATTACACAGAGTTCATTAGAAGAATTTCAGGTTAGGTGTTGTCCAACGAATCAGTGGTACTGTGCTATGTTCATCATTGTTTACTGGCAAAGTGTTACCTTAAGTATTTCTGCACTTTCCATTTATTGGACTTAGGTGCTAATGCAGCCTTTCCCTTTTCATTCTCTCTCTTCCATAATAGTTGCTGGCTACATGTAGATAACTATTTTATCTGGAGTTTCATTGGACCTGTTACCTTTATTATTCTGGTAAGAACTTTGGGTTTTTTACTTTTTTTTTAGGTTGCCTCACAGCAGATTAAAAAGATTTAAAATTTCATTCAATGCCATTCTTATTCACAAGACATTCCATGGAAATGCTTATAAACAATTTGTAATGTGACTAATGGTTATATATTTATATAGAAATCTTCAAAGTGTGCTGACCAAATGATTAATTGTCAAAGCTGTGGTGGCACTTCAGCATGGCCATTTTTTCCTAATGGCTTGAATTCTGAAGGTCGTATTGACATGTGTAGTCATATGAAAAATCAATGAAGTACTAAACACAGGGGTTTTTTAAGAGGAGCCATTATTATTGCTTTCAATTGAGTCACTACTGTACACATTTTAGAATTTAACAGCTAATTATCTCACATAATTATCTCAAAAGGGTATTCTAATGCATTGGATAATTAAATAAATTTTATGTTCCATTACACTTACACAGTGTTTGTATGTGTATTTGCATGTGCATATTTTTTCATGCCTACTTCTGTGTGTATTCGTGTTACATGTAGTGCCTGTGAGACACAAGCTCCTCTGCTCTAGTACAAATAAATAAATATGTAATTGGTACAAAGCCTGTGCACATTCATTGCTGAAGTCACTGTGTGCCTGCACCCATCTGTGCACCCAAAGCTGGGTGCCCCAGTGTCCCCTGAACACAGTACGTTGCATTCATACATCAATTACCAATTCTCTGAGCACTTCCAGGTAAAAAAACTGGTAAAAAGTCACGTGTCAACCCAGGGAAAGTACTTCTTCCATTTATTTCAGCCTAACAGTACCAGCAATACACAGTGGAGGAATTTGTGAGCGCAGCGAATGCAGGATGTGCATTTTGGCTCACCTGGGTTTTCTCTGCTAGTTCTGTATCTTTAGAACCTGGCTTTACTTGGGAAATATTGTAGAAGGCTGGCTGGGGACATAGCCTATGTATGTGGAGGCCTTTTCTCGTAATTGCTGATAGTTTGGAAGGATGAATTAATTAGTTTTCATGTTTTTGAAATCGTAAATAGTTGCATGTTCTCCTGCCCTGTCACAGTAGTAGAGTTGTGAAATATTAACAGAATTTCAGTTCACTTGAATTTCCAAATTCAGGAATTGTATTTTTCCATATTCAGAAATACTATTTTTTCAGTATAAAGCACATACATCAGGCATAATTTTGCAATTTCTTTGACTTTTATAGATCTGTGTGCCAGACATAATATTTCAGCACTTTTTGTATTTATTTTACAAACTGATATTTTGATTATGGAATTTTCTACTAAAAAATGCAACTGGCCAAGCTTTTGGCTTGCATTTACTCCATTTATATCACAAACTATTTGAATCCTTGAGCAGTCACTTAAGAAAAGATAGTTGTGCAATGTAGAGGTTGTTAGAGTTCATTGGCATATTTTCAAAGACATGGGCGTAGATGCCAAAATTTATGTGTATACAACTTGAATTAGAAAAATTACAGTGTTTGTGAGATTTAAGTGTAGACCATAATAATTGTTCAGAGTTTATTCTGAATGCATTCAAATTAAATCATATCTCAGAATGATGGGGATTCTTTTTTTAATTAAACCTAAAATTGCAATTGAAAGAAAGACAGTATGCTCAATATGATGGACAATGCTTTTCAATGAAGTTGTTTCTTGCAGTTGTAATTATTCTGGAAACTGTTCTGAGTTTCATGCTACAATAGTTAAGTCACCTCAAGTCTGGTTGTGTAGTGATAATTTTGCTTTTTGTTCATGGCTCCTTCCTCTTTTTATTGTTACTGGGGGTATTTTGCTAAGTCACCTATATTTCTCTCCCTTCCTCTAAAATAACATTTCACATGGGAAGCCTTGGGCTTTGCTGACAGCTTTTTCACTTCTTCATAACCAGGTCAGAGTGAGAATAGAGGTGAAGGACATTTAATCATATTGACCATGTACAGACATAGTTCACTATTATTTACTGGCCATGACATTATTATCCTCCAGCAAATCATTTAGACTGAGACGCAAAAGGCTTTTGGGAGCAGTATTCCCAACTTGAAAAATATGAAACAGCAGGTAGCAATCACAGCACAGTTCCTGGGAGTAATTCTTCTCTGGCAATTGCTTTGCCCTCTAATCGTCCCAGCTGAGAAAGCAAGAGAAACCAGAGGAAGAAGTGTGAGAAGTGTAGTGGCTGAAAAATAATATGCCATGTGCACTGTAACCAAAGAGCTATATTTGTAGTATAGCTTACTTAGTGTTAGTAGCATGTGAGAATTTTGGCTTGGTAAGCGTTTTAACATGTTGCTCAAATCACTTCTATGTTTCTCAGTTCAATAGTACTGCGCATGAACTCTTTTTTGACAGTATTGCCTTCTATCTTAATTTGCAGCTCTGAATTTATAAGCATTTGTGCTTGTGTCTGTGCACATTTTTTGCATGAAATGAGAATGGGAAGTATGAGGAGGAAGTATGAAGTTCCTCAGTACATCTTCTGAGGAACTTTTAACTTCACTATTTCTGTAGCCTGTCATGCCTTTGGGCACCAGGGTTATTATATCTATGAGAAAAGAGCATGTAAGTAATGAGCGGTGGGAAACCATTAGTATGCCTGAAATGGTTTAATGAAAGCTTGGATCATGATACGTCAGGAGCTGTTCTTATCATTTGGACAGCTCCATCTGCATCTTTAATAATTAATTCAGTTCAGTAAGAGTTCAGGGTGCACACTCATTTCGAAGCCTTCAGAGAGCACCTCTCTCTCTGCCAGTCCCAGGGAGAAAAAGGCTTCTGCATGGCTATGAGCAAAGATCTGGAGATACAAGAGCAGTTTTAGAGCTGCATTTGCCAGGTAACAAAAGCTCCAGGGAGTTCAAAAAGGGTCAGAACATGTGCAGTTCAGCTAGGTTACTTCAGAGTGGTGTTTCTGTTCTTCTGTCTTATCGTATCCATGTCAGCACTGCAGGCTGTGTGGAATGAATTTTAAGCTGCTAAGCTCGAGGCAGACGTGATTCCATTGAGCAGGTTCATGGCTATAAAACAAACAGTGCATTTCTGTAATCTGTGGTCAGAAAAGCCTGAGCACTTTGACTGCCATGTAGATCCAAATCCATTCATGCCCAAGGAACGGGTGGTGTTGGTTTAATTTAGCCAAGACTCTTGCAGTTTGCTTCTCCCAGCTCGCAGACAGCCCACGCATAAGTCTACCAATGGTTGTCTAAGCAAAGATTGCCAAGATGCTGCATTTCATTAACACAGAATGTTTTAAATGTTCTCACCCAAGTTGAAGTTTTAGTGCTTACCTAAGTCAGTGGAGGTACAGATGTACACATAACTTAGCTCCACATGTGAAAATGGATCGTATTTGTAAACTTGTTTTTAGAAATAATGCATGTTTATCTTGCTGTAGTAGACATTTGATAAATTGTATTTTTTCTATTAGTCACAGGGGAAAATTTATAATAATGTTTGCAAAATCTAGCTTTATTTTGCTACTAATTCATTGTACCTGCAGCTAAGTCAAATTGATTAGTCTTCTGTGCAGGTTAATACACCCACTTTTTAAAAAAGTTAATTTGAGTTGGACACACTCAATCTCTCAAAATTACATAGGTTTCAGGGGCTAGAAAGACAAATTTCCTACTTATACCTTTTCTCATGTTCAGTTTCTTCTGATTTCCAAGAGACATGGCCATATGTTTGTTTCCTGTGAAAGAAGCATGATCTTCTGGGGTGCTGCATTTGATTATTTCCGTAAAAATTCTTCATATTTGATATTTTAATGTAATAACTTGTTATTTTTAAAATATATATATATCAATTGTCTTTCACTTTGTTCTATCTAATTACATTTGTCATATTAAGAGATGACAAGTATATTAGAAGCTACTCTAATTTTTTTCCTTTTTTGACTTTACACAAAATTCTAAAATGAGGATATAGATTAAGCTAGTTCTCTATCCAGTATACCATCTCTCCCAGTAGACAGTAAGTTTTAGAAAGTAGATTAGAATCAAGTATAAACATAAATTAAATACTATCAATTCAAATTTTTGCTTACTATTACCAGCTAATGTTTTAAAAGATCTCCTATAATATATATATATTATATATATATAATATATATATTTTATAGCTCCACCTTTTGTAGCTGTGTGTTCTGTCACTCCTTGGTATCATACCAGAAGCTTCAAATCCAAACCTCATGCCTGACCAGACTTTTAATTTCTTATTTTTGGCCTTCAAAAGAGTGCTGGTCTGATTTGCAGACACACAGCATGAAAGAGATTTTACAGACTTGATTAAGGGTATAATTTCAGGACTGTTTGAGATGTATACATTGTGCATCTGTGTGTGAGTTTGCACAATGTATTTATGTTTTTTATTAGCATTGAAGAGGGGTACTGTTCAGTACTGTTCAGCTGCAGATTTTGGCTCGTCTGGGATAATGCAGCCCAGTTGTCATGATGAGGTCCAGCCAGTCACTCACCATTTATATTACATGAAGTGATGAGAACACCACTATTGTCAGAGGCCCATTTTTTCTCTTAGAGGGTTGTTCTCAAAAGTCTCTCTTGCCATTCACATGGGCCTCTGAGTACTGCATGCTTGTGGTGAACATTTCTTAAAGAAAGGTGTCCTACTCAGGCCATCTGTCGAGCTTGGAAAACATCTACAAATTAATTTGCTTAGATCAGTAACAGTTCAGTCCTCACATAAACAATTCAGGTTGAAAGGAGCTTCAGGAGTTCTGTGGTCTCTTCTCAAAGTAGCCTCAGCTCTGAGCCAGACCACGTTGCTCAGAGCTGAAAAAGCTTTGCTTGTGCAAATGAATACAAAAGTCATAGCTGTGTTTTCTTCTCCTCCCCTACACATTTCTCACCAAGGAAAGTAATTCAGCCATTCCTTATAAAAGCAATTATTTTCCAGCAAGTTCACTTCCCTTGCTTAGTGTCTTACATGAGAAAAAAGAAAAAAAAAAAAAGGCAGGGTGCCCAAAAGTCTTTAACTCATGAGTTCCTCCAAAACAATCAATTTCTAGATGAAAAACAGGGAGCCAAAAGCAAATCTATAGAAAGGTTTGGTTACAGTATCTGTAAGCAAGCAAAATAGGGCTTTTATAATGATAGAATGTGTAACAGAAATGCCAGCATGTTTGAACAAGTGGCAAACCATGGTCTTTTGACTGCTGAAACTGAAAACTATGCAATATTTCACAGTGATGGAGAAACAAGTATCATATGCTCAGTTGTCATAGTTACTTTGTCTTCAAAGTACAGTATTTTTCCTTTTTTCTCTGAGGGACTTTTTCAGCTGCTGTGATACAGCATTATTATTTCTGTGGGCTGGTTTTGTGGGTGTTTACCTAAATTACAATGAAAATGTCACTTAAGAAACTGCTTTGTGCAGTTGTTCCCTGGTGCAGCAAGGACATATACCCAGACAGAGCTGAGTACCTACATAAAACCTATTTAATACATTGGAGCGTGGCTCAAGCTTTGGGCTAAGGCCATGTCTGCTCACATGTCACCAAAGGATCCTCAGTATGTGAATACAAGTTTTTATTTGTCATGTGGCAAACCAGCATTTCAGTTGTACAAAGAATCAGAGGATAAAACCCTCTTGTTTCATAAGGCAGTCATTTATGGGCTAAGCCATATCTATGAGTTTTTGATCCAAGAATGATGATGCAAGTACAATACAGGATACTTCAGGGTAGCTACTTAGGCAAGGATTAGCTTCCAGCTGTGCTTTAAATACTATTCTGACTGGATTGTGCACTCCCAGATGCATAGGTTGCAGCCAAAGTTGATGTATGTGTTAGGATTGACGCAGGGCGTGTGTCTTAGCTCTTAATCTGTTTGTTTTCACAAAAAGCAAATTGAGGTTGCATTTTTCAAGCAGGCTGAAGAAGTTCATGTTATGTCAGATACCAAACTGTGCAAGAAACTTTTTTCAAGTAGAGAAAAGTAAAATCTGTGTGCAAAGACATGGAACTGAGTATGAGGTCAGTTGCAGAGCCCATGCCCTGTCTGGTGCAAAGGCCAGGAAGAGAAGCAACTTGTTTTCTCATCCAATGAAGTTATGCGGTACAGCGGAAACCTAGATGAGAGGAAGAGATCACAATGATAGAAGAAATGGTTTTTCTCATCTGGTTAGTCATTTCCTATAAGAATCATAAAAGATAATCACGAAGATCATGAATTATTGACACTTCTATTACATTTTGCAGCAACGGAAATATGCTTAACCTACACAATGTACATACATCAGCTTAAAGGTTAAGTATCTTCAGCCAGTTCTTGAAACACAAACAGAAATCAATCATAAAAGATTATTTTCCGTATTTGTGTCACAAGCACCCTTTTCTATTAATCTCAACATACAATTGTAAAAATGTTACACTTTGCATGATAAGATCAAAAGTTGCCAGGCACTATTCTGGTGTTGAGAGCTGCATTATAGTTCATGCTGTCCATCCTGATTTGGAGACAGCAGCAGGAGTAATAATATGATTGCCTGTAGCAGTAGGAACTGTTTCTATAATACATATTCTTATTAACAGACTCTGATCAGAGCCTTCAAAATAGTCATCTTTTCAGGATTAACACCAGCTCTTTATTAGGATTTCTGTGACATTTCTGACCATTGAGGCACAGCTGTAGGAACACGTCTGGTATGAACTGGTATCCCCAGTGTTACAAAAACAGTGAAGATTTTTAAGCTGTTTTAAACCAAAGGCTGCCCAAATTGAGAGACTGCCCTATCTGTAGCCAGTTACAGATATATATATATATATATGTGGAAGATTATAAGAATGGGGTTCTCTATCTATTGTATGCGTTATAAGGATGTCCAAGCATATTCTTCCATCTTCTCTCAGCTTTTGGTGCAGCTATTTTGTGTGGACCATTGTAGTAGTAGACAAGGATGTGTGTCTTCTTGCTGAAAGGACATGGCTCTTACTGATTTCAAAGATACAATTTTGTCTGGCTTTTCTCTGTGATATAGAACAGCACAAACTAATTACTGAAATTAATTGGATACAATTTTTTAGCCAGTATTCTGCAGGCATCCTTGTGTTTGGCTTGCCTGTGCTTTTCACAGGCTTTGAAATCGATAGGAGAAAGGCACCCAGTAACTTTGATATCTGCGATTCTGTTTCACAATAAGAGGATGATAAAAAATTTCCTTCAGTATCTTCCCTGGTGTTACCTTTATGAATGACACAACAAGAATAAGATGCCACAGTCCTTCAAGTGGCACACACAGTCTCATTTCGACAGATTCCAGACTACAAAGGGAAAGAGGGCAGCAGGAGGGTGCACCACCAGCACAAGTCTATGGCACTGTTAAGTTTGATGCATTTGCTACATCTTTGTGTTTCTTTTTCTTTTTTTTCCTCTCTATTTCTTTTTTTCTAGTTACATTTAAGGTCTTTTCAAGACCCCAGTAGGATTGTGAGAACAAAAAGGAATAAAAAGAAAAAAAAAAATAAAGGAGAAACCAGGAAAGGTGAAAAACATTTCAAAATCAGGATGGGGTGATAAAAAGACAACTAGTATAGCCCAGTAAAAGCGTGACCATAGTCCTGAGAGTGAGATGTGGATCAGGGCCAGAGGTGACAGGTAAAGGTGAGCAGGTGATGAGCAAAACATGCTGGGGGACAGAGCTAGAGTGACAATGGCAAGTGTTGAACATCAGTTAAATATGGTAGCTCACGATGATGTGGTGCATTTGGGAAATTAAGTGAAACAAGGACTTATAATATTTTTATCCTCTTATCCTTACTTGCAGTTGCAGTTTGCAGACCATCTGATATAGTTATCAATTTTCACTACTTACTTGGAAATAAACTACAGGGTTTTTGTTTAGCCTGTACCATCATCATTATTCAACCTATTACTTGAAGTAGTTTAATTTCATTCTTATCTGTTTTGACAGCTGAATCTTATCTTCCTGGTGATCACATTGTGCAAAATGGTGAAGCACTCAAACACTTTGAAACCAGACTCTAGCAGGTTGGAAAACATTAAGTAAGTGCTTTGTGTTCAAGTATGAGAACTATGATTATTTTCTGATTGCTGAACTGATTGAAAGCTACTCTCCATTAGGAGCACATGCTATTGTCTCCCAGCAACTGCAGATGTCAATTAGAAGCAAACAGAGCCAATCCTGCTTTCGTCACTTTGTTGCTGTAATGTCACAAACAGCGGTCAAAATTAGATAATTTCAGCCTGGAACTAGTGCCAAGAAACTGTTTCACGGAAATGCCACAGCACTGTAGTAATTTCATTTGCATTTAAAATGCAGTTCAAAAATGATGTTCCTGTTTGCATGGCTGATATGATTATATTAAGTTTGTTTTGTTAAATGACTTTTTGATTTAGGGATTCTGAGCAGTTTCTACTCGTAATCCTGTTCTCCCAAGAGAATTGACTCTATTATTATTGTTAACTTGAAGATTATCTGCTGTTTTCATGCTAATTTAACAAATGTTTACTTTATCATGGTGTTCTACTGTAGTATCCCTTTTGCAGAGTAATATAAGTTTTATGTAACTAACAAGGCTTTGGCAGCTCTCACTTCTTTAGATAGCTTTTTACTGTATTCTCTATAGCCTTACGTTGTATTCAAGGTTTTTGTTACCAACACTGAAGGGATGGTGCCACTTTCTAACGCTGAGGGTTGGATGTGAAAGGGTCTTACAGATCTGCTTTGAACGTTGGAAATGGCAAAGGGAGACTTTCAGTAAGGATAACATTGTGAACTAGATGTTCTAGATAGGTCAGTATCAGCTTCATTGCATGTTGCATGATGAGAGAGAGAGCTAATCTTTAGCATCTCTCTCTTTTCTTCCTTTTCCTCTTTCTGTCTTCTCATCCACACCAGTAATTACCGTGTTTGTGATGGCTACTATAATACGGACTTACCTGGGTAAGATAGAACCCTACATTAACAAACTTCTAGCATGATTTTTAACTTTACAAACTCGGTCATATTGTGGATTTCCCTTAATTTTAATTAACTATTTTTGAGATACCTGATTTGCTAAAGACTTTTAAACTATTATATGCCTTTATAATTTTAAATTGCTTGCCTCTGCATTTTGAATTTCCTAATTTTGACTAATTTTTATAGACAATTAAAAATGCTCTTATTAATTTCTGTTTCAATTCTGTCTAATAATTTTGTTTCTCTTTTCTGCTTATAATGCTTTCTAGCTATGAAGATAATAAGCCATTTATCAAGTAAGATCATTAGTTAGATGTGGAATTCACTGACTAAATTCCCTTTCCCTTTCATTCTGTGCTGTTCGCTACAATTCCTTTTCCTTAACCTATTCATGATGGAATCTTTTTTAGATTGTTCTGTAAAGCAATATCCATATTTTTGTCACATTTCAGCAGGGTTTCTTCATGCGGAAGTTACATCCTCTAGCTTCAGTTTAGCTGAGTTTATCGGAGCATTAACGATTTGGGCTCTAGGCTTTTAATCTGCTGTTTAACCTTTGTGCATTTGTGTTACATTATTTGGTGTCATATGGCAGCACCACTGTTTAAAATCTATGGTGTGATTAGTGGCTAAGCCAGATTTATCAATCTCTTCTCTAAAAGCAGATAAAGCAATGGAGTAGCTGGGCCTTGTGCTATACTTCTGCATTTCAAAATAGTTTTGGCATCCTATGCAGTTCTTGAAAAAGACAAAGGTTATATCTACTCTTGCCGTTTTCACTGGAGTCTAAGAGTACTGAATTGAATTGTTCTTTCTTTAATAGATAAAAGGTTAAATCCAAGGAATTTTTACATTTGAATGTGAAACTAGTGAAAGTCAACTGCAGGAACTGAAATGTTAATATTGGATTTGGCGAAGTACATTCTCATAAGTAATGTTACTAAAATTAATTTTCTTTTACAGATCCTGGGTCCTGGGTGCATTTGCTCTCCTGTGTCTCCTTGGCCTAACATGGTCATTTGGTCTGCTGTTTATAAATGAGGGGACCGTTGTGATGACATATCTCTTCACAGTATTTAATGCTTTCCAAGGAATGTTTATTTTCATCTTTCATTGTGCCCTTCAAAAGAAGGTAAGTTACCAAAACCACAGATAAATGTTCCCTAACTTCTTAGAAATGCCACACATAATTCTTAAGAAAATAGAGATAAAATTAACAATTTGAAAAACTGGAGTATTTTGAAGTAGTTTGAGAAGGGGACTAGAATTCCAATGCAGCTCTTGGTGTATGTGCTAGTGGGAGTCATGTAACTGCTCTGTGACCCAGACAGGTTTAACATGGATGCAGGATTTTCAACTTGGGCTTGCAAAGTTTGGAGGTTTTGTGAAGAAAATGTAAAAGTTTAACACTGGTAACTTGGTAGCTTGGACTTACAGACAAAAGTCTTCTATGTCCACATGAAACAAGTCCTGCCTTTGCTGCAGTGCTGCAAACAAAGGATCGGTTACGACATCAGTCCACATCAGCCTGGAAATGCTCCCCTTTTCCTGGCTCAAGGCAGAGCACCTCTCCTGAGATCCCATTAAGCTGCCACATAAAGCCATGGGTGATAGGCAGGGATTGTACTATGTGTGCTCATTCATTACAAAAATTAAGTGTGATGTGAAAATTAATTTTCTTATGAACTTTGACACACCTTATAAAAAAGTAGTCATTAATGCTAGATGGCTGCTAACAGGAGTAGTTTTCTGAATATGGAAAAGATGCCAGCATTAATACTTTTTTCCCAAGTGTTTGCCTCCCCCAGAAATCCCAGGAGCTTTGTGCTCTTCACTGAAGCCTCCCTCAGGAGTGGGATGAGCTAAATTAATTCTGTTCCCCTTCACTGGATGAAAGCAGAACGGTCCAGGAGGAACAGGTCTGCTGGAAGGAGAGAGAGACAGAGGGAGACAGAGAGAAAGCTTGAAGGAGAGAGGGGAGCAAGCAGGAGAGAAGAAAAGTGAAGGGTGCAGTTCTGTGGGACACTTTTTTGGGTTCCCTGCACCCCTTCTCTTCCCCAGAGGGTGGAGATTGCTTCCAAGGATGCCTTAGAGGTACTTTAATGAGGAGTGCATAAAAAATGCTGACAGCCTTTGTTGAAAGGCAGGACACATGAAAGTAATGAGAGTTGAGAGGAAGGGTGAACATCAAAAAATCCCACCCAAACAAATTTAACATGAAATGCAGTATGTCCTATATTTGGAAATATCCAATTTGCAATATTTAGATTCTAAATATTTTTACCAATTTTAGGCTGGAGACCTAGCAGTTATTAACTCCCATTATAATTAGCTCACCAAAGACATAATTAACTGATATTTATAAGATGGTTTGAGACCATTGCATAAAGTGTTGTTGTGTAAATACAAAAATCCCATGCTCATGTTCTCAACTGTACCAGTCCTAACATTACCAGCATCTCTAAATGTGTTGTAGACAGTGGCATTCAAAGGTGTTTTAGGGAAAGATCTGCTAGACAGAATTTTAGCCATATGAACATGACACTCCACTCATTTGGAGAGAACAAAAGCACACTTAGGGAGAAGGCTGAGCCTAAGAAGAAGATAGGGAAGAAAATGCAAACATTCTCAAAATGCAAAAATTCTCAAAAAATAATTTCTAGGTTAGGGTTTTATATGTTTCCGTTTTTACTGTTTGTATTAGACTTGAAAATCAGAAACAGATTCCTTTTTTATTTCTTTTCACAGCTGTGCATTGTTTTAATATAAAGTGGAGTCAGCAAAAAGCAATATTAAAATACCAGCCAAGTGTGAAAAAAAATAACCTAGAGCAATAAGATTTATACCTGAAAGAATGTTAAAGCTGCCATTTAAGATTTTTAAGTGTCACTGCCTTTGACTGGATATTGTTCTATCCTCTGTCTGCATAGCTAATGTAGTCTTTTTATTCTGTTATTACTACTTGGTCACTAAATTGAACAGAGAAATAGAATTGTGGAAGTGAAAACTATTATGTTACCAGTTCTGACGAGATGATAGTGCTGTTGCTTCCATCAGTATCCAACAAGCTATAATTTAGAAATAATGACAGTGGAATGTGCAGTCCTGACAGATAATGTACATTCACTGCAATATAGGCATTAGGCAAAACCAGCCCTGGAGGGTGGTATTTGGGTAACGATACAGTTTTGTTTTCTATTGTCTCTACTGTGTAGTGGTTTAGAACATTTAATATCCATTAGTGTTCAGGAATGTATTTTCTTAGGTATTATCTCTATACACCATCTAGTGATGGTGTATACAGACCACCGTTTTCCAGGGTTAAATATTATAATTCTAAGTTGTTTCATTTCTGTTTTAATTTTTTGCATGTCTTTTGTGCTGATATAGATAGGGGTTGACTTAAAATTTGTACCATATACTTTTATAAACAGCTGACTTACTGTGCCTATCTTGAAGTTGAATCACAAATTATTCAACTTTCTTCCTCCCTGTGATTTATAGAATCAGAATACAGTATGTATTCTGTGAGTAAAACTCCTGTAGAAAACAGCACATTACATTTGTAAATCCACACTATTAATTTTTTGCATTTTCTTCTCTCCCCTTTTTGCATACACATAACTTTCTGTCTTATATATTCATAGGTCAGGCAGAATTTCCAGATTAGCTGAAATCCCTCTTTTCACAGAAACTCCTAAGTCTCATTGATGTAGAAGAGACCATTAAGTTCCCATGTAACGTGGTGGAAGATTTATGAATTTAGGCTTATACATCTGTAAGAATTCTATCCAGTGTCCTTTCACGGATACAGTCTTGCTGCCAAGACATGCACACGCGCTTCTTTATCCAAAAATAGTGGTCAGTGAAGCAGTCACTGAATATAAGAGAATTAACTGCTCTGTAAAATGATCCTGATTACTTTTATGGCAATTCTTACCACACATAACAAAACTAAAGCTTCCAGTAGGTCACTGGAAACAGAAGGTAAATAAATGCAGCCACTGAAGCTGAAGTCATTAATTAGTTTTGCTGCTCTGTCAGGAAAAAAAAAAATCATAAACATAGGTATATTCAAATTTCTAGATTCAACAAAGATAGGAATTAGAACTCTACATTTTGGTCCTAAAAGTGGAAGGTGCTTCATTCCCAGCTTTTATGGTTCAAAAAGCGACTCTGGAACACTGACAAGCAGCTCCACCAGCATAGCTGGGGCTGTGCCTGGAGTGGGGCAGTGGTGTTTGTGAGCTCTGCTCAGTGCCAGGGCAGGTGTGGCTGTCTGAAGTAGCAGCTGGATGAGATACACAGAATAAGAAATGCCTTTACAGGCATTGCAAGTTTTGCACTCTTAGTGGAAATCGTCGCATAAGGGGCAGTACTGAGCAGTGCTCAGCTGCTAGGATGGCAGGACAGGGTTTCTGTGCTTTCTGCACCAAAAACTCTTATAAAAACCACTCTTCTCAGCCAGCATTCAATTCAGGTAAACTTAACTATATTAATCTACAATATAAAAATGAAATAAAAACAATTCTATAACTAACTCAGTAATGATTATTCAGGGACATCTCTAAAGAAGTGTGTGTATACCTTGGAAATAATTGGTTCAAAACTCCTGGGTAGCTGCTAATACTGCCACTGAGTAGGGAGAAATACATGGTTCTGCTAACAGCCAGCAATTTGGCAGACAAGAATTATCTATTTGTTGGAAAAGTGAGTAGTTTCAAGGCAAGGTTCATGTGTTTCTGCCAGCAGATATTTAAAACTATTTTGTGTGCTAAGCAATTTTTTTTCTCCATAGGTACGTAAGGAATATGGGAAATGCTTCCGGCATTCCTACTGCTGTGGAGGACTTCCAACTGAGAGTCCCCACAGTTCAGTGAAGGCATCAACAACGAGAACTAGCGCTCGCTATTCCTCTGGCACTCAGGTAACAAAGATTTTGACAGCATCTTCTAATTACCTCATTTGTGAAAAGCCTACTGAGATGTCTTCCAATCAGAAAGACTAATTGTCTTCTCATTATTGTCATTTAGATGGTAAATACATACTTCTGCTTAGTAGAATTATTTCTTTTTAAACATTTACTTTGGTTTGGCAAGGTATTTAAATGCCTTATTTTTCTCTTGCAAATAGGGACTGGTTTATAGGAAGGTTTATACCATCGTGTTTCATTGAAATGAAGTTTAATAAATTAAAATTTTAATAAAAATAAGAAGGAATTTTCACCATGTGCTAGAAGAATTTTTTACTTGAGGCTAAAATAAACACAAATATCCTACATAATAGCACATGAATAGGAAAAAATCTTTCTGTCAAAACCTACTATGCTTTTGTCTCACTGCTTTGTGTTAACAGAGTCGGATAAGGAGGATGTGGAATGACACTGTGAGAAAACAATCGGAATCGTCTTTTATCTCAGGTGACATCAACAGCACTTCAACACTTAATCAAGGTCAGTCACTGGGAACATTTCAGTTTTAGAATACATAAATTTAATACAGATTTCATATCAGTTAACACACAAGAATTGAAAAGAATGTTTAAAAAATAAATCTGGAACAAAACCGGAGTTTTAAAGTTATCCACCAGCACTTTTGAAAACCATGTTTCCTTAACTGGCCCCTGCTATAGAAGTTTAATTCTTCAATTCATGAGAATGTATTTAAATTAGTTTCATCAATAATTTAGCTTAAAAGCAAGATCATAATTTTAAATCTTTCTTAACCTTTATAGGTTAAATCTGAAATAGAAATATGAGTGCAGTAACATTTTAATGCATATTTGACTGATTTTTAGGTGCAGAAATTTTCCCAGTGAAATCTAATTGATATCATTTCTATGCAAAAGATGTCTGTAAAGCATTTATCTTTTCTATTTCAAAGAGCATCATATCTGTAACATGGGATAGAATCCATATTTTCAGGCTCAGAGAAGTCAAAACTCAGAACTTCTCAGCTCAGATAGACTTTGAAATCTGTAACCTCATTCTCATGTCCAGACAGAAGACTAGGGCATTAACCAAGCCAGATTGTCGCTCCCTTTCTCCCCTCCCCTGTGTGTTTTGAAGGCAGATGGAGCCAGCAGTGGAGAGGGGACTGCTGTGCAAGCCAGGTTTGAAGCCTGTTCCTCCACCCAGTCCTTAAGTGGAGAGCAGGTAGCCCTGGTCTCACTGCAGCCGGTTCCTGCTCAACTCAGAAACTTCCAGACAGAAAATTCAGATTCAGGATTTGATAGCAGGGACTTGTATTTACATTCATTTTGGAAGTAAAAAACGTGGTGTTTGCAAAGCAAAAGGTAGCAGAATGTGTGTTTCTGTTTTTGCTGTTTGGTATCTAGAAAGTGGGTAAGGCCTGTGTGTCTCACTGCTCCTCCCACCCCCTTATGAATCCTGCATGTTCTTCTGGCAAAAATCAAAATTAAGTAACTTCTCCTAGGTAGAAATGGTGTATTTTTCATATCCCCTTCACTGTCCTACTAAAATTCAAGAAATACAAGCTACATAAAATTTGGTTTTTACCCTAATTTGCTGTCTCTGACTCTTGAGGTTTGCTCTAACTGTGCTGCACTGTTAGTTAATTCAGTGTTGAAGAGAGTTCTCAGCAGCTTCTCCCTGTTTCAAGTTCCAGACTCAAGTCACTGGAGATGTTCTGCCATGATTAGAAAAATTGGTATCAACTGTATTCTGTTACAATATTGTCACTATCTCAGTGATAAATACATATAAGGGTAGTTTAATAATCAATGGAAAGTGTCACTTTTTCCTTTAAAATAAAAATGAAGCTTTTAATTAAGTTTTTTTTTCCTTGTCACAAAGAAATTTAGATTGAAAAAAAATCTTAACTAGAAATTATACATAATTATTCTAACCAAGATTAAATATAGTACACAAAATAAAAAAACCCAAGAAAAATATATTTCAGTTATTATTTCTATATGAACTTTACAGTGGAAAAAAGCTATGATAACTTTTTAATTGAGCACTAACACAAACTTTCAAATAAGATTAGCATAGTCAGACAATAATTCTCTGAGTGTTAGAAATTTCTGCTCATTTCTGCTACTAAGTAGCTCTGGGAGTACAAAAGCATTAATATTTGGAATATATATCATTCCTTGCCAAATAAAAATATTTATACTATATAAATAACTATATAAAATATAGCTGCCTTTTTAATTCTCCCTGGGTCTGTAATACAGACCTGATCCTGATGTAGTGCTTTGCAAAGTAATAAAAAAGAAACTTGAATTTTATCTTATTGAAATGCTTAAATTAATTTTTAAATCACAGCATTTTTCTTGTAGTAGCTAGAAATCAGAGATTGACTTTTTAATAATTTTTCAAAACATGCTGGGTTTTTTTTCTGATTATTCTGAGAGTTGTTTAAATGGTGTTGCATTAACATGTAAATTTGAGTTTATAAGAGTTTAAAAGATGTCTGTTTACCTAGTATTTGTCTTACATTGTCTTATATTGTTTGTAAACTGATAGTTTAAAGAAATTTGTCGTTCGAGGAATTCTTTTTTAAAACCTGGCAGATAGGTTTGCAGCATGAATGTCCCAGGAGAAAATGTGAATGCTCTGATTTCTTAGAGCAAATATTTTGCTTTCCCCTCAGCATGCATACTTTGGTATACACTAAGATATGCTTCTTGCAGTTTGTCATCCACTGTCTGTTTGAAAACAGCAATTCCCTTCCACTATCTGTCTGTTTTTAATAAAGTGAGTAACAGCTCTGATCCTGTCATGAGAGGTTTTTCAATACCTTTCAGTTTGCAAAATTCAGTTCTCTCAATTCTGGACAGAAGTGTTCCCGATGATCGTTTTTAAAGTTCTGGTAGCTTTATGTAGTACCTTGATATCTAAACATTTAATTGCTACTCTTGTGTAACAGTGATTTTGTATACATTAGTAAATATCACTTTCACTAGATGTTTACCTTGGGGATTTGGACAGCACCTGTGAATCACTGAAATCTAACTATATTTTCCTGCTCCCATTTCCAATGCATAGCTCAAATACACCAGAAATTGTCAGCTGAATTACATTTTAGAAATCCTACGTGATTCATGATGAATAAAAATTATTCTTTATTGAAACTGTCAGGCTAAAATTAAGGAACTGACATTTTTTTTCTGTTTCTTTTGCTTTAGGAATGACTGGCAATTACCTACTAACAAACCCTCTTCTTCGACCACACGGCACTAACAACCCCTATAACACATTGCTCGCAGAAACAGTTGTATGTAATGCCCCTTCAGCTCCTGTGTTTAACTCACCAGGTGTGCTTACACTTCCTGAATAAACTGCTTTACTTGGCTCGCTCCAAATTCCCTCTTTTCCCTAGATAGAAGCTCAAGTTGCAATACCCCAGCCGTACAGTCTGAATTTCTGAAATAAATTTGGGAAATACAGTGTTGCCAATGTCAGCTTGTAAAACTGCACTATATTATAGTAATGCCTTTGCCCTCACAGTATTTACCAATAATTATCCATGTTTTTAACACAGGTGGCATAAATCTTAATATACTATTAAAGGACTGACACCACATGGTCCGAGAGCCCATCTTCAAGATATATATCACTTAGAGGTATCATGTCTATGCAATGTAAGGTTGACTCTAAAGCTTGCTGAGAAAACCCTGTTTATGGAATGGATGAGATACTAAAGCAGTGCAAGGCATCTTGGCACCTTTGGATACCCCGGAGTAGAAAATTGTATCCAGCATCAAAGAGATCTAAACTATAGTATAGTGCAGCTTTATGGGAGATCATTTTCCTGTAGGAAAATCCTGAGATTAACAGTTAGAACAGTTTAGTTCTGTAGGAATAAAGGGTGTCATCATTTACCTAACATTTTGTTGTTACATTATCTACTTGCTTTTTTTAACGATGTTGCAGTTCATCAGTAAATATCTTGCAGATACTGTTTGATGAGTCCTAAGATCACTTTAGTGTAAATAGTATGATAAATCTTTGAAAAAGAGCTCATAAAACTTTGTTTCCAGTTTTTATTTCAAGTCTCCTTTTTAACTGAACTGTAGTTTCTATTTTCATTCTCTTGTTTTCTTACTTTCCTTATGCTTTCCTCTAGCAACCTACAGAGAGACAAGTATGGGAGTAAAACTTAACTTTGCCTATCAAATGTAAATTTTTTCAGCATGATTTTTAATGGGCACAATTAAAACATAACTAGCGGTCATGAAGTAGACTCAGCGGGCAAGTGGTTCACAATTTGCAAATAAAATGTTTCCACATTCAAAAAGTACTTGCATACTGCTTTTTGGAATCGCCATAAGGTCTGTAGCAAACCCTATTGGTAACACAAGTTATGCAATGCTGAAATAATTTGCTCTTTAAAACCAAAGCAGTGTCATGCTGAAGTGCTTAACAATTTACTTATATTTTAACATTCCTACAGTAATCTTGCTACAGGCTATGAAAGATTTCAAATTAATTACCTGATCATGGGCAACAAAATTTGCCTCATCAAACCAATTTGAATATATTCTAACATGCTTAACTCTGCAGTATATCATAGAAAACTCATTTTGGATTATCAGATGTATTTTGATATCTCTTTAGCAGAGGAAAAGAAAATTAAAATTACAGAATTAAATCACTTTCATGAGGGAGATGAATCCAGCATGTGGTCCATGTGTTGTCTACTTTTATAAATGCCATATGTTCTACACAGCTAAATCCATTGCAAGAAAAATCTTGGAACGTACATGAAATTGCAAAACTACATAGTTGTTTAATCAAAGCTTAAAGAGACTTTTCAAACAACCCTCATCACTGTTCAAATCAGTACACATGGAGAAGAGTTAACAATAACACAAATGCAAAATGACTCGCAAATTGCTCAGAATTTGTTTGGAAATTATTACTCCTTTTTTAAAGTTGAAGATAAAAAGCTTTTCATAAGAAAATGCAATTTCTTTTTAATTGAAAACAATATTTCCAGAGAATTTTGAATTTTCTAGGATAAGCTGCAGCTTTAATTATGAAAAAAAAAAAATCCACAAAATGAGAAAATGTAAAATTTTTCCAAAAAACTTTTCCCATATACTCCTCCAAGCCTTGCATATTATGCAGCAGCCTCACAGTGGTCAGTCTCATTTCAGTAAAGTCACTTCATTCTTTCTTTACTTCCAGACATATCTGTAGATAAAGTGCTTTTCTAGGAACACTCTAACCATCTGATTTCCATGGTTCAGATTGTTTAATTTCTTGCAAAGTTTTTTTTTTTTTTCTTTTTTTTTTCCTTTGCTTGGGAAGCACTGTGCTGTCATAGTTTACATGTCTTTGTGTCTGTAGGAAAACCTTTTCTTTATCAAGTTACCAGAAAAAAAAAAAGCCAAAACCCAAAGCATAAAGACTTTAATCATCATGAGACTTCATTTTCCCCCCTCTTAAACTCCTTTTCATGTTTTCAGCAGACTTACCCAATCTGTCATTCCCTCAACAGCTATGAGATATCAGCCATGGCTGATTTCCTCTTCCCATTCCACAACTAATATTTATTCTTTGGTTTAATTTCTGTGACCCATACTTACAGAAATTCCTAACATTTCTGCATTTGATTCCATGCCCATGGTAACTGTGGGCCTAATTCTTAATTAACTATTCTGGTTCATTCAGCGCTGTCACTGTGACTGATGCAGACTGCAGGCAAACTTTGACCTTTAGGAGCCTGGGGCCTTTGTTGGCAGACAGAATATTAGTGCAAAAAAATTACATTAAGTGGGAAAAGAAAAGCTGTTATTGCTTAGTAATCTAATTTGCTGAACCCTTGCTCTGACTAAGTTGCTGAGAAGCTCAGTAATTCTTCATCATGTTACAATAAATCATTTTACTTTCTTTTATATATCAGCTACTCTTAGGCCAGATAGCCTGAGCAGACAGACATGATGTGAGTTGTCCAAAGTGAGTCATTCCACCTGCTGTCTATCGTGTTGTTGGATGGTGCTTGTGGGCCCTGGTTCCTGTAGTGTGAAAGATGGCTGTCCTTGTTTAACATAAATTCTTTGTATTTATCCATTTTTTTCATTCTTTTCTTTACTTCATCTCAAAAAAAAAAAAAAAAAAACAAACCAGGAAAAAAATGTTAGAAATGTTGTCAAAGTAGTTGCTTGCCAGTTATGTGGGTTTATGTTGTACATTTACCTTCAGTTATGTCTGTGATCTAATTCCTTTTTAATTTAGTGTCGTTTAGGACAAATTCTGTTAATTTTCCTTTTTCTAAATCATGGTGATGTACTTCAAAACATAGATGTTTCCAAATGAATTGCTTTGCATTACATATGCAAGGGCATGGAGTGAACAGTTCTTGTGGAAAAGTCACAGAATTGACACTAAATTAAGAAATTCAAATGCCACTATTCCCCACAGGAAGCACACATTACTATTTTTAGAATGCATCTTTCCTATAAGGTGTACAACTGTTTACATTTGGGAATGTTCAATAACTAACTTTTCTCAAGTTTTACTTCCAAGTACAACTTTGTCCTGAACTACATTAAAGAACTTTGTTAAAAAGAAAGAAAGAGAAAAAAAAAAAAGAGAAAAAGTGGTAAAAACATGTCAGGCAATAACCAGAGCTGTCCTTTTCCATTCTAGGACATTCACTGAACAATGCCAGGGATACAAGTGCCATGGATACTCTACCGCTAAATGGTAATTTCAACAACAGCTACTCACTGCGCAATGGAGACTATAACGACAGCGTGCAAGTTGTAGACTGTGGACTAAGCCTGAATGATACAGCTTTTGAGAAAATGATCATTTCAGAGTTAGTGCACAACAACCTGCGGGGCAGCAGCAAGAACCACAACCTGGAGCGGGCGCTGCCAGCCAAGGCTGTGATCGGCGGGAGCAGTAGCGAAGATGACGCCATCGTGGCAGACGCCTCATCTTTGATGCACAGTGACACCCCCGGGCTGGAGCTCCACCACAAAGAGCTGGAGGCCCCACTCATCCCTCAGCGGACTCACTCCCTTCTGTACCAGCCCCAGAAGAAAGTGAAGACCGAGGGAACTGACAGCTACGTCTCACAGCTGACAGCCGAGGCTGACGACCACCTCCAGTCCCCCAACAGAGACTCTCTTTACACGAGCATGCCCAACCTCAGAGACTCTCCCTACCCAGAGAGCAGCCCCGACGTTGAAGAAGACCTCTCTCCCTCCAGGAGGAGCGAAAATGAGGACATTTACTACAAGAGCATGCCAAACCTAGGAGCTGGCCATCAGCTTCAGATGTACTATCAAATCAGCAGGGGTAATAGCGACGGCTATATCATTCCCATCAACAAGGAAGGATGTATTCCGGAAGGAGATGTTAGAGAAGGACAAATGCAACTAGTGACAAGCCTTTAATAGTGTAGCAAAGAAATATTAAAGGCCACATTCAAGTATTAAAAAGACTTAGTTGGCCCCATGCAGGCTTCCTCATATCTGCTCGAAGAGACAATTCTGTTGACCCCGTGGTTCTCCAGTAACAGGGATGACTGGACCTCGCAGTTCTGTGAATTTTTATAAAACAAAAACTTTGTATATACACAGAGTATACTAAAATGAATTATTTGTTACAAAGAAAAGAAATACCAACAAGGTATTTAAGATATCTTCTGCTGCTGAATTTAACAAAATTGTGAAAAAAAAAGAGAAATAAACACTTTCCAGCCATTTTACTGCAGCAGGTTGTGAACTAAATTTGTAAATATGGCTGCACCATTTTTTTTTCTTAGGCCTACATTGTATTATATACAAGGCGTAGGCTTTAAAATCCTGTGGGACAAATTTACTGTACCTTACTATTCCTGACAAGACTTGCAAAGGCAGGAGAGATATTCTGCATCGGTTTGCAGTTCACTGCAAATCTTTTCCATTAGGGCAAAGATTGAATACATGTCTAACCACTAGCAATCAAGCCACAGGCCTTATTTCATATATTTCCTCAACTGTACAATGAACCGTTCTCATGAAAAAAATGGCTAAAGAAATTATATTTTGTTCTATTGCTAGGGTAAAATAAATACATTTGTGTCCAACTGAAATATAATTGTCATTAAAAATAATTTTAAAGAGTTTGAAGAAAATATTGTGAAAAGCTCTTGGTTGCACATATGTTATAAGCTGTTTTTCTTACACTGTTCATAGTACGATAGTTTGTTTAAAATGCAAGTTCTACCTGTTTTCACTTATTTTTTCACTGTAAACAGTGTTCTGCTTTGACAAGTTAGTTTTTATTCTTAAGTTTTGAATTTTTATTGCCAAAAAAAACATAATTTGGGGAGAAAGTTGTTTTAGAAGCCAATTATGCCAAGCCTTGCACAAATTTGGTGTAGCTAACAAAGATTGTAACTCAATTCCCTGTTCATTCTTTAATCAGGGTTGGGTGGTAAGGGGTAAAGGGGACATTGGACACTTCTCACAAGCTTTCTCGTGAATAAAAGGTGCCTGTCCTATAAAAAAAAATTAATAAAACATAACTATAACTCTTCCATATTCCTTCTGCCTATATTTAGTAATTAATTTATTTTATGATAAAAAATCAAATGAAATGTAAATTGTTTCAACAAAATTCTGCTTTTTTCATCCCTTTGTGTAAACCTGTTAATAATGAGCCCATCACTAATATCCAGTGTAAAGTTTAACACCTGTTTGACAGTAAATAAATGTGAATTTTTTTCCAAATAGGTAAAATGTGCATTATTATGTACGAAGCATAATTGGCATCAGCAGTCCTTCGACTCAGATGTGTCCTACCTAGAATGGCATCTTTACATTTCATGATTTTAGTGTTGAGAATTCAACAGAAACTGTCTATAGCCCCACAGAAGACAGGTCATCTTTACTATTCTTTTGTCACCATTGAATAGGATCAAACCCAGATATAGCAGGGTCATTAGGAAAATGTACTGTAAATTCATATATTTAAGTAGGCATCTTCACTGATATTAAAATTAAGGTGGTAAACACCACTGTCATATTCTTGGCAACAGTAATTAGTGGTTAATTATTAGTGATGAAGCTACATTGTTGCAGCGGGGAAAACACGAATAAGCAGCATTTGGCTAGCACTCTGAGTGCTATCTAAATAATTCATCCATCATGGCACTGGTTTGTGTTAGATAAATAAGCATGACTGTCCCTATTTTTATCAAACTAGAGAGCTGCAGAAGGCAGCTGAAGCACAAGATGTTATCTGCAAATCAGTAGCTAAATTGGAAGTCTGAAATCTTTGTTGTGTTGATTCCCAGGCCTTTTTTGTTCCTCTCATCCAGGGCCTTTCAAAGATAGCATCAAGGACTGCATTTGTCACCACTTCCAAAACTGTGTTTTTTCAAATAACTCTCAAATTAATGTCCCATCATCACAAAGGCTACAGTTTCATGTGTGGCCACTGTTACTTTCTGTATGACAACAGCAAAAATTCACTTGAAAGCTGTATCGTTACCTTCTAATGCATTGGAATATATAAAGTCCTTTTGGAAAATAAGTCAATGCATTTTTAAGAAGTTTGGATTTTAGAAGAATGTTTTAGGCAAGACTTTCCATTGTTGAGAGGGTTCAAACTAAAAAACTAAAATCCAGGCTGAGATGGAACTGTGGGGTTCTGGTAACCTCAATATATCTGTTCAGAACTGTGACATTGTAGCAATTGTTAATGAGCCAAAAAGCATATTCAACTGTCAGCCACTGGAAACTCTTACCATAAGTTCCTTAACACTTAAAAGTTACTGTGTTTGCAGTAGAGTCACTGAAACATTTAAAATTTAATCAGAAGTGGTTTACTTCTGTTTAGTAGAGATGCTTTAAAAATCTGAAGTCTCTATGAAACAGGACTTAGTTCTGATTCAGGGTACACAGCAGACTCCTTGGAGCAAAAGTTATTCCCTTAGTCTGTCTGGCAAAAGCATACTGGCTACTTTCTACCTAGGAAATCATGTTCTTAAGGATTTCAAAATTATGGTACTCAAATAATTACAGTACACGACCTAATAACATCACTAACTTTCTGCAGAATCTTCAATCCTAATTTGAGCAATTACTCCTTTGTGTCTAAAGGTGTCAAAACTACATACTGGAGAAAGGTTTGTAGCATTGTGATCTTAAATGCATACTCAATTGCAAATGTAACAAGTAAAATAAAACATAAAACAAGAAAATCTAGCTGATGAACCTGAGATGAACCTGCTGAACCTAAGTATCATAAGGGAATTCTTTTGTTAGCTTCTTTGTAATGTAGATGTTGCTTTTTAGTGAGCCTGTTGTTTTTTGGTTTTTTTTTTTTTTTTAATGTTGAGCTAGTGAGTGTCCTGTGTTTAGCTAGCAGCCAATACATTGCCAGATTTCTGTTGGTGTAATTTCTCAGTGTAGTAGGCTACAGTACAATTATATAGTTGGCAGCTTATTGTAATTTATGTTCTCTTCTAACATTCCTGCCACCTTGTCTTGGGATCAGAAGGACAGAAGAATTCAGAGGAAGAGGTCAAGAATAGTGAAATAATGGCAGCAGAATGGGGAAAGGAAACAAGTGTTTCTTCAGGGTCATCAGTTAACCAGTTTCTCTGATGGTGCCCACGATATGTTGCTATTTTAGGCACTGTCTTTCAGAAGAGCTGTAATTTTCTTATGGCTGGTAATCTGTTAGTATCAGTGTTAACCCTACTGGCTCAGTTCAATTCTTCCTTGTAACTTCAGTCCAGTTATATTAATTCCTACAAAAGATTGAATGGGATGTGCATTTAGTGAACTGTTGTATAATGGTGCTATGCATTGTTTAATATAAAATACATCTCAATTCTACATAAGTGAACAATAACATGAAGAAATGCAACACTGGTAATAACTTCTTAGTTAAAACTAACCTTTATCTGTAAATTCTACAATACACCTTGGCTTATTTTTAATTTGATATGAAGTTACTAATAAAGTTTACATATATTCACTTATGTAGGCAATAAAAGGTATTTCAAATTGACATAAATCATGGATAAAATATGTGTCATACTTGATGTTCTAAGTTGTAAGGATTTTTTTTTTTTAACTACTCAGAACAGACATCAACAGAGCAACAAAAAATATAAACAGTCCTGTGTACTGTAGGTGGTGTTATCCCATTTTGCCTCAAAAATAACAAAACTTCTCTTCTAGATTTGATTATATGACAACATACAGTAGTGTAATGTTTTATCCCTGAATAAAATTACTTTTCACAACCAATAGAAGCTACAGGTAGACAATCATATGCATATATATAGATGTAGAAATATATATAGATATACACAGACAACATTTTAATTCACAAATTCTAGGGAACAATGAAGAATTTAAAATTACAGGATTCAGCAGTAATCCTTCAATTCTTCAGTAATCCTGCAAAGACACCCCAGAGAGATCACAGTAAAACATTCCTTAATTTTTTCAAAAAATAAATGGTGACAATCGCCTTCCACATCTATGAAAAGCAGTGCTGCCATTTCAGTTAGCAAGGATCTTGCTGTATGGCTGCACTGTAGGATGAAGATCCCAGATTTATGGATGCCACTGGGATGCTGGGTCTCTGCTCCACAGTGACAGCACAGTTTGTAATCCAGCTTTGCACTGAGATGGAGATAAAATTAGCATTGCCACAACCCTGGAAGCAAGAGATCTGTGTCTTTCATTTACACAAACACTTTGTAAATTAGTAGGAATTCAGTTAATGGCTCCAGCTCAATCATCTGGCTCTGCCAAAAATCTGGAGAAAGGGTTCATTAGGACCCTGTCTATTTCAACAGTGTTTGGGTTTTTTTCTGTAAAATCTTCATGTGTTTTTTAGAACGACAACTTCCAAATCCTTTTATTCATGCAGGATAAATTCTCAATGGTATTTCATTAATTCATGCCTAAGAGCATTAATATCTCTTCTTAGTGTATTATGTCATCATTAATCTCAGCCGCTCCCCATCAAAGTTCCTGGCATGTGCAGCAGATCACACCATGGTGCAGCCTGAGTGGTTATAAATGCTACTGAAAATCACACAAGCCTCAACTCAGCAGCAAGGAGATTTTAAAGGACCATTCAATATAATGCACCAGCTGCTGCAGATATCATTCTGGGATCCCAGATGGGGGAAATCACAGTTGCATAAATTACATTCAGAATAGGTAGCTCCATAAAGAAAATTTTTCTACAGCAAAGTTTGTGTACTGAACCATTTCTTCCTTGTGTGCACTCCTCCTTTTATATGGTGAAGTAGGAGCTCTGGCACAATGTAGACTCTCCACTGCCAGTCAGCTAAAACCAGGCAGGAAAGCTGAGCACAAAAACATAAATGCACTTTAAAAGCTCAGGTTCCCAAATAGGAGACAACAGGTTAGTACCTGCATGAGCTTTTTTAATGGAGAAGCTGGATCTCTGTAGATGGCATTGGAATAACTCTTCCAGTCCTCTTGTAGCATTAGAATTGCTTTAAAATAACATAATGCTGCTGAACATTTGGCCTCCATGATTGCTTAACAGTATGATTATCAAAGGTTAATGAGGTTCTCATGAAAATAATTCATTTTAATTCTTTTTAAATATACCACTTTGCTTCTTTTTCTTTTTTACTAACTAACTTTTGCTAACTAACAATATAAATAGAAGTTTCTTAGTTGGTATTCTTAACTCCACTCATTGTTTTAAATACTCACCCTCTGCCTCCTATTACTTCTTTCTAAACAAACCCTTGTTTTCAGCATCCTCCACCTCTCTAATTATTTAGTTGCCAGTCTTCAGAGTTACTTTTTGTCAGTATGCTTTTGGAGATAGGGCAAGAACAAAATTATGGGTGATTTGTTTATGTTGATTTATGCATGGGAGTTGTATCTTCTATTCTGTGCTACTGCCACCCCCCATAGTCTCACATTATCTTTTGTTTTCATAGGATCCCTTCACAACACACTATTCCACTAGGCTGGTTATCCACTAGTTATGGTTAATTTAGAGCCCAGCACCAGTTATTCTCTTGAATGTGTGCCCATCCTTGCATTTCTCAGCATCGCAGTTCATCTGCATCACACTGGCCATTTATTCATTTTGTTAACCCAGGTCAATCACAATCTTCCCTAGTTCTGATTAAGTGAAGTAATTCTCTGCTAACAGCAAACAGTGCCACCTCCCTGGCAGCATGTTCATCCCCATTTTCAGATAGCACCAGTGTAGGGGCACTATACCATTAGCCTTTTGCCATGCTAAAAAAATCGCCCGTTTAATCCTGCTCTACCTCTTAGTTTCTAATGCACAACTACTTTAGCTCTCACTTCCTTAATACGCATTTGCTTTAATGGCTTCTTGGGAGGGATATTTTTATATGGATTTTTTTTCTTTTTTAAATCCAAATAAATTACATCAACCATTCCCTCTAGTCTCAACAGCTGCATGATTGACTTAATTTTAGTACGTTAGAGAGGCACAATTTTCTTGCCCTAAGCAGTTACATCTCTTTTGGCAATGTTTCCTCTGCAGTTAAATGTGGATCTGCTAGATGTCAGACCCAAAAAGCACTTCACTGTTCAAAGTGAAACTTTGGTGGAATTTAGGCACTTAAAATCCCAGGTACAACAGATGTTACTTCAGGGACAGAATTAATTCTAATCTGGAAGACATGTATGCTTTTGTCAGTAGAGCCTTTTCATCATTCCAAGTTTGGTGACTGTGTGTGCAG